AGCCAATGTGGTGATATCCGTCAGAGATTCATGCTGGTTTTTAACGCAGTGCCATCTGAGGGATCAAAGGTCTCATCTGTTCAGATGTGGTTTTCAGCCTTGTGCTTTACACACGAAGGCTTCTCTGGATTCCATGAATCTTTCAATGATATTTCGCACCAAAGAGGGTGAAAGACCTAAAATCTTTGAATTTGCTACTCAAGGAACATTGTTCTTAAACTGTGGATTATTCCCTGATGCATTTTTGGCCTCAAGCCATATGTGCTTGTAAAGAACTAGGCCTTTCCCGGACGCTCTCTTTGTATCCAAGCACGAATATGTCACCTGTTGAAAATTTCACAGTGTTCCTAATCTTACATTGTCTCTGTTCCTGTGTTTGAAATGTATTGAAAGTGTCAGTTTCAGAATAAGTGTATGTTTACAAAAAGAATGAAGCTAATAAGGTAAAACATTAAATATTTTGTCTTTGTACTGTGTTCATTTAAATACAAGCCAAAGTGGATTTACAAATCACTACCATTTGGGTTTTCAAAGATCAAATGAGAATGCTGGACACCATTGAAATCTTGTCACCATGAGTTTATAAGCATATTAACTGATGTGTTACAACTACATGTAGTGCAAATGTCAGTCAGTGACAAATGTAGGGTAGACTAGCATATTTTGGAACCACGTGTCTATATTTGAACTGATCATTTGCAGAGCAGAGGATCAATTCTTTTTTTTATTAGTATTATTTGGAAAGGAGCTTGAATGGAATGACACCAGATGGGAGAATGCTAAAATTAGCTCAGGGGACGTCAATAATCCATGGACGTATGGCAGTGACTGTCCCTCCATCTGTGGCTCTGAATTGGATTCATGCTGGGGTGTGGAAAATGGCATGGCAGAGATCACAATTAGCTTGAAGTAAGACATCAGCTCTAATATAGAATTTTGTATGGCAAATGTTATAAAGAATTTTAGAGTGATGTATGCTGCAAGATTTTGTAAAAGCAATGTTGTAGAGCAGCAACACCATGCTAAAACACCATGCATGACTCAAAATGTCATGTCCCTTATGTTGCTCAGTAATCGCATGGCTTTATGCAGTATATTTCTCTTACATGAATGTCGGATGGTTTCCACTTCAGAATATCCCTCTTATGGTACTCACATTTAAGAAACAGAGGAACAATCATAATGTTATATCATTTTACTTGAACCTGACTGCCTAAAATTGTCATACTCATGCCACAAATATGCAATAACAGATGCACATATACTGGCATAGATTGTCATGACAGATTTTGTTCAGTAATATACCAGTGTCATGTTGCTATTACTGGTAATTGTGATGTTTGCCATGACATGTTTAGGGTTCAAGTAAAATGTTACCTTAATTTGATTATCTTAATGTATCAAGAAAATATCTCTTACCTGGGTCTGAGTCAAGAGTAAGACCAGACTTCAACTGAAATTCTGAAATTTGTGTGTAGTTTACTATACATTCATTATCATTCATCATGCATATACACTTTATGGAAAAAAGCATTGGGGCACCTACACATTACACCCACAGCAGCTTTCATAACATCCCATTCTAAATCCATAGGCCCCCCCCCTTTGCAGCAATAACAGCTTCCACTTTTCTTGGACAAAATTTTGGAGTGTGTCTGTGGGAATTTTTGCCCATTCATCCAGAAGAGCTTTTTAGAGGTCAGACACTGATGTTGGATGAGAGGGCCTGGCTCACAGTGTCTGTTCTAGTTCATCCTAAAGGTGTTTGAGGGGGTTGAGGTCAGGGCTCTGTGTGGGCCAGTCAAGTTCTTCCACACAAAACTCACCCAACCATGCCTTTATGGACCTTGCTTTGTGCACTGGGGCTCAGTCACGCTGGAACAGAAAAGGGCCTCCTTCCCTGAACTGTTCCCACAAAGTTGGAAGCATAGAATTGTCCAAAGTGGTATGCTGAAGCATTCAGATTTCCCTTCACTGGAACCAAAGGGCCTAGGCCAACCCCTCAAAAATAACCCCATTAGCATTATCCCTCCTTTACAGATGGTACAATGCAGACAGGCAAGTAGTGTTCACTTGCCTTTGGCCAAAACAAGACTCGTCGATCAGACTGCCAGACAGAGAAGTGTGATTTATTACTCCACAGAATACATTTCCGCTGCTCCAGAGTCCAGTGGTGGCGTGCTTTATACCACTCCATTTGATGCTTGGCATTGTTCTTGGTGATGTAAGGCTTGCATGCAACTGTTTGGCCATGGAAACCCATGCCATGAAGCTCTGGGCGTACAGTTTATGTTAATGCCAGAGGAGGTTTGGAACTCTGCAGTTATTGAGTCAGCAGAGCATTGGTGACTTTTATGTACTATGTGCCTCGGTGACCCCGCTCTGTAACTTTACATGGTCTGACACTTCGTGGCTGAGTTGCTTCAACAATGGCATCCTATTACAGTACCACAGCTGAATTCAGTGAGGCCTTTAGAACATATATATATATATGATTTAGACTATAATTTTATCCTACCTATAGGTTTTATGTAGGGAGCTTTCTATAAATATGAGCTACGGTAGGAAATTTTGACAAGGTAGCAATTCATGAGAACACCGGTAAGCTAAAAAGGAGAGCAACAGAGCTCGAGCTAAGACCAGAATTAAAACTGTCTTGCCATTTCAGAGGTGGTGACAGCTCCATGACGTGAAAGAACACAGGGGACATGCCTAATTGGATTTTTTATTGATGGACAGGTATGTTATGTTGGTTGTTTGCTTGCTTGCTACCCAAAAAAAGGCAGCCAGATTATTACAGTAGTGGACTTTAATGTTACCCTTGTAATTGTTAAGTTAGCTGTATAGCTAACGTTAACTGGCTAATTCGCTAATATTAGCAGTTCGTTCTCTAATGTTTGATAAACCAGACTAGCCATTATTCTCTGATAATTTTCAGTGCAACTGTCTGTCTCTTTTCATAAACACAACGAATATAAAATATACTTGGCTAACATTGCCTAAATTAATATCTGACTGAGTGGAGGCTTATTTAACTAACGGACACATGTGCTACCCAGCTGTCGTATGAATAGTAATGTTAGTTAACTATGAATTATCCATAATGAAGCAGGTAATATATTCATGCTTTTCCCCTCTGTTATGAAAAAGAGAAGCTCAGATCAATCTCCTTGGAGGAGTAGACCGTTCAGTTACATATTTACACCAGAGAGGTCGCCAATTCCCCAAATTTGCCAAATTTACAAAATGCAGCTTTGAATGAAAACAAACACCGATCAGGAATAACATTATGACCAGCTCCTTGTTTCTACGCTCATTGTCCATTTTATCAGCTCCACTTACTATATAGGTGCACTTTATAGTTCTACAACTACAGACTGTAGTCTATCTGTTTCTCTGCATACTTTGTTAGCCCGCTTTTACCCAGTTCTTCAGTGGTCAGGACCCCCATGGACCCTCACAAAGCAGATACTATTTGGGTGGTGGATCATTCTCAGCACTGCCGTAACACTGATGTGGTGGTGGTGTGTTAGTGTGTGTTGTGCTGGTGCAAGTGGATCAGACACAGCAGTGCTGCTGGAGTTTTTGTCCACTCACTGTCCACTCTATTAGACACTCCTTCCTTGTCAGTCCACCATGTAGATGTAAAGTCAGAGACAGTAGTCTGCTGCTGCACAGTTTGTGTTGGTCATCCTCTAGTCCTTTATCAGTGGTCACAGGATGCTGCCCACAGGACGCTGTTGGTTGGATATTTTAGGTTGGTGGACTGTTCTCAGTCCAGCAGTGACACTGAGGTGTTTAAAAACTCCAGCAACACTGCTGTGTCTGATCCACTCAGACCAGCACAACACACACTAACACACCACCACCACGTCAGGGTTACTGCAGTGCTGAGAATGGTCCACCACCCAAATAGTACCTGCTTTGTGAGGGTCCATGGGGGTCCTGACCACTGATGAACACAGTAAAAGGGGGCTAACAAAGTATGCAGAGAAACAGATGGACTACAGCCTGTAATTGTAGAACTACAAAGTGCACCTATATAGTAATTGGAGCTCATAAAATGGACAGTGAGCGTAGAAACAAAGAGGTGGTCATAATGTTATGCCTGATTGGTGTATAATAACATTCTTATCTGCCCTCAGTGTATGTTTGAATTTTGGCACCAATGAATATCGACAAATAAATAATACCCAGTTAAGCCATCAATGAAAGAATCAGTTAGATCTCCAACTGACAGCAGACAGATTTTGTTTTTAACATTCACTAGATGGCAATGTTTCAACATCTGTTACACAACCATTCTCTCATCGTTCACACACTACATACTGTACTGTATGAGAGTGTTAGGTCTTCATTTTTTTGGACAGTGTTCTGTAGATGAGATTGTCACACTGGTTCTCAGGGACCCTCGCAATGGTTTACATTTTTTGCTCTATCCCTCTGTGTTGCAAATTGGGTTAGAGCAAAAAATGTGGATTGTCTAGGGGACCAATTTGAGAACCACTGCTTATAGATTATCTGCAGATGCTCTGTAGATCTCTGTATATATGTGTTAATGGACTATTGTCCATCCTATTAATTGTCCTCTGTTACTATAAGTAGATTTAGGAAGATTTGTGTTTTACTCAAGTGAAAAGTCTTATTTTTACTCCTCACATTTTCATTTAGACCTTTAAAGAACCTGTTACAATGGATCTAAATCTGGTCATGGGTTAGGATCAGAGTAAGGATTAATAGAGTAAAGGAGAAGTATTAAGTTAAAGTAACTGAGGACAAAGCAAGCACCTACAAATGATCTACAAGACACTGTCCAATTAAAATGTTAACAAGTGTTGCTCTTAATGTCAAAATGGATGTACAGTCAAGATTTTGAAATAATTTGCTTCAATATATAATGTATGACAAAAACATAAAGTGATTAATTGCACTGTAATTACATAGTAGCAAATTTATTGTATTGTACCAAGGATAAACATATAAAAATAATGTACGCATTTTATGTAATTTATACAGAATCCTACAAACTCGCATTTTATCCCTAAACCATATACATTATATGTCAAAAGTTTGTAGACACCTATTTATCTGACAGTTCTTCTGAATCCCTCTTCATGGGATAAATAGGTAGTTTGCTGCGGTAACAGCCTTTATTCTTCTGCTGAAGGTGTCTGGATAATTTGGACATTGTTTTCTGGTTACATTACACATTATACAATAATGCAATGCTCAGTATGTGCTCCAACAAAAATCACATTACAGCACAACTGCAAACAGTAGTTCAGATGTCTTGTCAGACTATAAAATCAAACCAAGTCCTGTCAAGTGAATGTCTCTGAATTTCCATGTTTACTGAAGCTCCATCAGCGTTTACTTTCATTTTGACAACACTCACAAGATTTGCAGCAGTTAAACAACAGGGGAACAGTATAAACATAAATCAGGGATTGGTAATAAATGCAGATGTCCTTCATACTGAAAGAGCTGGTTAATAGATCAAAATAGGGACAAACTGATACCTAAATCAGATTTTTTTTTGTTTTTTTCTGAGTGGGTGGCTTTAAACACACACACACACACACACACACACACAGACACACACATACACACACATATCTGTATATAAAACTGCATTTTGAGTTATTTGATTTTCAAATAGTAAGTTAACAGAGCAATGTTTAAAAAGCACTTACTGGCCATATGCCATCGTACACCACAGAAATGTTCAGTGTAAATAATGCGGTTTATCAGACTCGTTCTAGTGACTGGATTACCCTTCAGGTGCCGAGCGCTTTTTCTGAGCTGGGAAGATTTGCTTTTAGCTACAGTGCTGGAATTCATTACAGGAAACTCTAAAACTTTGCTCTCTGGTGTCACATGAACATTTTAAACTTTTAGTCTCTAACCACCTCCACACAGCCTGCAACTGCTTTATTTGATTTTACTTAACTTTTAATATGAATTTCAGTATGTTTTAGCTATGTCTTAGCTATTGTTTTACTTTTTTATTATTCTTTGTATTCTTTTTATTAATTTTATTATTGTCAATTTAATGTCTTTCATCTTCTATTTCTTTTTATGTAATTAATTTATGTTTTTATTTATTTTATCCTTATCTGTGACTTGTTAAGTTACTATATTGTAATTCTAATTTTATTAAAGTTTACTATTATGATTTTTATTACTTTATTATACCATTTGATTTCTTTTTACTACCCAACATCTTAATCCCTGATTTCTGTATTGCTCAGCCTCACTGTAAATGAGGATCTACCTCAATGTATTCTGAGGTTAAATAAAGGTTGATTGATTGATTGATTGATTGATTGATTGATGTTCTGTGTTTTATGCCATGTCAACTTATTGATTGAAGTTTAAATAACTCAAAAATTTAAGGCAGCCTGGGCACTAGCTTTTTGAAGTTAATTATATATTAGTTATGTATGTATGTATGGCAAGTGAAAGCATCTCAAATGTAGGCGTTATATCTAACATTTCCAGAGGTGGAAAACACTGTACTGTGTGTAATTGTACTTTGTTACTAGAACTTGAGTATTATTTGGGAAGATTTGTACTTTACTGAAGAATTATTGTGATTAAATACTTGTTAAAAATGTACTTTTTACTATTTTATATGATAAGATCTCATAATGAGAAATATTAGACATATTGAATTAGACATATTAAATACTTTTTAGATGCTTTAATTTGCCAGTATATTGTTTTTGCAGTGTGATTGGGTCTTTTAACTGAAAGCCTAACAAGTGAATGTCTCTGAGATAGGTTCAATGAACTGTCGCACTGTTGGAGTTTCTGCTTGCTGTTGTGGAAGTCTTTTGAAATGTGCTGCCTACATCCACACTGAAGAGCTGCACACCGTCCTCCAGTTTCCCCCACATAGCCTGAGGGACATCCTTTACAACTCGCAGTGCTGTAGTACGTGACGAGCCAGTTCCTGAACAGGTTAGTCTGCACATGTGCTTTTTCAACATGCGTAGGAGCTCCCAGGTGAAGCATTGCAGGGTTCTGAACTCATTAAATCGGTAAAAGCTAAAAGAGAGGCAGCACTTCCTTGTTCTTGAGAGGCAGTGTCTTTTCAACAGCACGCTCTAAGAAAACAGCAGCAGTCCTCCTCTAATACCAATACAAATCCTTCTTCTCCATCATCTGCATACCTGTAAGAGAAATAAGACGAAAAGGAGCTGTGAGGAACTTCAAACAAATGTAACCCCTTAAATCCCAAAGCTTATTACATTCAAAGACTTATTGAAGGGGGATTTTTTCTTTTTAAATGTCTGCATAATTAAATGGTCAAGATAACAAAGTCATTTTGAGCAGTTTGATGTGAAATGCTTCATTCTAGAGAAATTTGCCAAGTCAATATTGTTCACAGTGGGTTTGATAGGAACCAGATGTCAGAAGAGTTTAATGGCTCTAAAAGCTCCCTCACAGTGTTATTACGTGAAATGGTTATGAATACCTGAGACATTGTTTTACGATAGTTTTGGGATGAATTTTGGCTTTAAGTGTGTTTTTCCTCACTCAAAAAATAATAAAAAATAAAAAATGGTGTGTCCAACAAAAAGGAAGCCTCATGCATATTTTATATAGTGATAGACACGCTGAAATTGCTAAAATGATTTTACTGTTGCCAACAGAAATGTAGACGTGGCGCCACTCCTTTGGCAGTAATATAAACCAGTGGCTAGTTTTTTCTCTTAAAATTATAGTGGGGAGCTACATGCAGGGTAAGGCAAAAGAGTACCAAAAGGAAACAAACTTTTTTCAGATTTACCACTATTTTACCATAGTCAACATCACATTTAAAAATACAGAGGATACATGTTGGTTCACTGGTTGTTTTGCATAATAAATAAAATGGCCATTTTGAATTGTAGACATTGTGACCCCTGGTTCTTATCACCACCAGTGCAAAATAGTTAGTAAGTTTCTCTACAATGCACCTTTTCTCACCATACCAATTCCACATTGTTTTGTTTACATCTCAGTTCACTAATTATGGAGACATTTTGAAAAATTGGTGGATTTTTCCTGTAATCTGTAATCTATGGAAAATAGTATAAACTGCTCGAGGCAGAAGTGGAAAATGTACAGAGAAATTGTGCTCAAGTTTGTCAAAGGATTACTACTTAAGTAGTTTTTGAGCTGCTTTGTTTGTACTTCTACCTAGCTTCTGCTTGAGTCCTTCATTCACTGCTTTTACCTGAGATTGGGTTTAAGTTACTCTACCCTCCTCTGGTCATGCTGGTTTGACATGTCATGCTGGTGTTTCGTCATACACATGAACCAGTCGTTGAGACCACAAAAAAAAGTGTAAATAAATCTTTGTCTAAGTGACAGCTTCTTCAAACTACCGTAGTTTTAGGTACAGATGTGTGACAATTCAGTCAAGTTACTTGTTTTGTTGATTTCCTAAGTGAAAATAAGTACGTGTCCTCTACAGAGAACACACTTCTGAACATTGTAAAATGGTGAATTTAACATATTGGGGAAAAAATAAAACATGTTTAGTGATGTTTATGGGACATTTTTATCTTTATATATGTTTTATTTTATATTTTATGTGACATGTTAAAGTCAGCAAAATGTCAAACTGTGCACTAAACTATAAACTAAATTTATAAGCTAAATGTGTTGTTTATTCATTCATATCAATCAGAAATGTTATAATAACCAGCAATAACGACCAAGGTTTACTAACAAACTCAAAATGATGTTGGTAATTAACCGAAATGTTTAAGTAAGGCAAGTAAAAGTAATTAAACATTAGCGGGACATACATTAATGTATCTTTTCTTAATGGAAAAGGCAATTTATCGTATATCTCTTCCTTTGAATGACAGGTGAAGTATTTATGCACAGAGTTTGAACAAGTGATGGTCATCCAGGCTTGTTGAATTTTCTCTTTTGGGTGTGGCAGGTTTTGAATACTTCCTGTTTCCTTTTATTACATCAGTACATTTTTCATATCATTAATATGTTCATAGATACTATTCAACTACAGTGACTACGGATGTCTGCAGTAAGCTATTAATCATGTAACAGCTATTCAGGAATATGCAGGTCTGAATGTTATGTAAACTGTTTGAGTACATCTTGCAACCTATTTTCATTAATAATCAAGCTTCCTGCTAGAAAACTGGACATCACACTCAGCTGCTAGACACCTATGGATCATGATACAATCTCAACAAAACAAGAATTACATCCATCTTTGCTACCAATTTACGTGAGGTGCAAGAATATCATGTCATAGAATATTATATATTAACCTCTTCAACTAATTATAAATCAATTATTCAGGCATATTAAGACATGCAAAATCCAACCCAACACCTCTGGCTTTTAAATTATTATTTCAAGCTTTACAGTGTGGCTCTTTTTTTTCCTCCAGACCCAGTTACAGACGCTGCTACTTCTTTCAATTTGTCACAACAATCTTACATAGTGCAGCTTTAAAGAACCTTTCAATAGAGGTTTTTTTGAAACCACTTGGTTGAAAGGCTCTTAAAGTGTGCATTTACATTTGTAGTATGTTGAGAAAAGACTGTTTATTCTGTGGTATAGATGTCTGATTTATTTTGCGTTTATATTTCACACAAACTACACCAGTTTGATTGGGAGAAGACTGAGACTGAGACTGCCACTTGCTGCATACTAGGGTTTGCTTGGCAGCATTCTCACTTGTTCTAACAAGCAATCTCACCAGTGTTCATTTTATTGAACTAAACCTGCCAAGTGACAACGTCCTTAAAGTCAATGTGAATCTGAAAACATATCGAATTTTCCCTCCATACTGTGCTGTATTTCTAAGGAGGGTCTCTGAGCTAGATGAGAGGTGTTTCTCAATGAGATTTGGAGATGGTGGAAAGGGGAAGTGAAAGATGATATTATTTTCAAAGCGGACAAAAGTCACTGCACTTCTATTAATTCCTTTTCACAGTAGCCATAAGATGAAATTTCAGACAGTTTTGGAGTTCAATTTAAATATTTTTATTAAATTAGAAATGTTTTAAATATTGTAATTACATTTTTATTATATTTGGATTCAACTATTTTATTTAATTATATTAATGAATTTCCATTCTGCCAGTGGAGTGGACACTAGGAGGCCTCCAGAAAGGGGTTAAAGATTACTCAAAAACAAGAAATTTTGAATTTCAATTCAATTTTCTCACAGTTTTCTCATTCTCATTAAAGATGAATCATGCTTAATATGACCAGAGACATGAACCTATAAGGTAAAAAAGGTCTATTTTTACTTAAGGTTGGCTTTAGGGGTACAAGAAATGGTTCTTTTACGGCATCACTCCAAAGAGCCTTTTCTGACACTTATTTTTAAGAGTGTAAGACTTAAGGAGGTTAACTGGTATAAACCTCATGGCAATCTATTGCATTCCTTTATATTGTGTGAAAAATTAATGATGAATGGACCAACAGAAATGCTCCAAATTCGCATGGAATTAAACCTATTTAAAAGAACTTACATTAAATGTTAAGAAAGTTTTTTGCCTTCTCCTATAAAGTTACCATTTTGGAGATCGATATGCCAGTAGAATGTATTTCAGGAACCGTAAATGCATTTCAGCGGTGCAGTGTATTATGACTATAGAGAGCACAAAACCCAAGAATGTGTGAATTGCAGTACCGGAGTCAAGGCTGTGATGGGGCATCATCTGATCTTCAAATCCTGGATGTCTCGTCCAGCCTGGCATAAACTCCTGTTTAGAGGAGCCGACCATGACAGTGCCCAACTCAGGGCGGTCACTGTGGAGCAGGTGTAATAGGGAATTACTGTACTGTTGGTCAGGCACCACCAAACCATCAGCTGACGCAGCAGAGGGATACATCATGGGAGGCAGCACCAAGCTGGCACCCTGCCGGGGACCTTCAGGCCATATGGTGGAGCTCTCTGCAGGAGAAATCGGTGGCAGACGAGGGTTTGTTTGTGGCTGTTCGTGTCTGCCAAGCTGAATCCGTCGTGGAGCATACGAGGATTCAATGTGTGGAAGTGAAGACACATCCCAGCTGCTGGAGCTTGGCTGCTCTGTGAAACATTGGAGTAGAATTTTATGACAATCTGCATTCAGTCAGCAGATTTGGGTTCATGTTTACATTGCAAAAAGTTATCCCAATGTAGACATCATCTGTAACAATTTATTATATACAGATGGTCCACTGTAGATGCTGTGTAGATGGTCCGTCTGTCTTTAATGAACATTTAACTAAACATTTATTAGAGGCAAGTGAACTTGAAGTTGAGTGTGAAAAATTCTATGAAATGTAACCCTAAATTTAACCTTAACCTTACCTTCAAAACAGAACCTAAACCTACTCCTAAACCTAACCATAATGTTGTTGATAATCAACTGAGCATCTGAAAGTTTGTTAATAATTTAAGGATCTATAAATCATCTATAGGGGACCATTGAAATAAAGTGTAATCAGATATTTTGTTCATACTACAATTACACATTTCCACCAGAGATGTCTCCAAATCCCCATAACACACATAGTGTAGTTTTAAATATATCAACACTTCAAAGATATCATCGGCTCTTAACTCTTTGAAAATGCCGGTTACCCTTTATATTGCATTAATTATTTCTGATGAATGGACCAGTAGATGCACTACTGTTCAAAAATTTGGAATCAGTGTTTTCAGGAAAATTAAACTAATTTGGTTTTGGATAAAGGTTCAGACTTAAAAATAGGTTTTCAAGGATTCTGTAGAAAAAGCAATGATTATATATAGAACTGTGACAACTCAAAAAATAGTTGAACCATAAATGGTTCTTTGCATGGTTAAATGGTTCTTCTCCTTGTTTATGGTTCTTTACACTATAAAATAAATGCATTGTGTGTCATATTCTATTAGTAGGAAGTTGTAAACAATCTTAGTTGCAACCAGAATGTTGAACTGAACAGTGGATGATTCTATAGTATAACACTGAGATTGCAGTGATGATAAATGTAGTATGCAGATTAATATCTCAGATTTAAGAAGTGCTGCTCAAACATTGAAGATAAGTAGATAACTTGATAACTAATAGATAACTTGGCAAATATGATTGTTAATATATAATAACAGTATAGAATTCAGGAACTATAATGATTCAAAGTATGTGAAATAAATTAAATAAGACATCTAAAAATAAATTTTCTTGTCTAGTTTAAAAGATTTAAATCTACATTGTATAAGATTTGATTGTATATAACACAAATTATTAATATAACAAGTCACTGCAACCTTTTGAATGGTAATGTATCCAAAATGACTTGACAGAAAATCCTGTTACATTAACTTACATAACAAAATTTAAAAACGTTTTTATTTTTCTAAAACGTTTTCATTTTTGGAGATACAAGGTTTTGTTCTTACAGCTACAATATTAGTAAATCAAGCGGATTTAGTGCATTCCTCAGGGCACATAACCATGATGTTCTTGTTTTGTTATTATAATTAGAGATAAGTCGTCTGAGTTACCGGTTTTGGCAGATTTGCGGGTTCTCTTGTTTTTACTGCTGTCTCCCTTCGGTTTGGTGACCTTTCTCAGCGCTCGAGAGAAGTGTTCGTCCACCTTGCTGTTAATGTCTCCCTGAAAGTAGGTGTAGAGGAGAGTTTCGGACTGCTGCTTGGTCTTCAGCTCCACCACACTCTCTGCTTCCTGCTCCATTTTTCAACCAGACCTCTGCAAAAAGCCAGTAAACAATCAGTCATCCGTCTGCCCCACACAGATGACAACATTAGCTCTGTGCTAGCTGAACATTTATTTTCCATTTAATATCTAATTCCAAGTATTTCAAATGGCTGATTCCTCTCAGTGCTAATCCAATCATCAGCTATCCTCTAAATCCTGATGCTTTACGTTGAGGTTCTGTTTGCAAGAAAATGTAAATCTGCTTTCACTGCATTACAGGTAAAACTGTTTTAACCCCTTAAATGGCCAGCGTCCATCAGCAGGCCCAAATGTTTATTACACACTTCTATAACCTAAGAATAACTCAGCCAGTTTGCACTGAAGTCTCTGTAGTTATTGAATAATAAGCCTTAGTATGTAATAAGCCTGGGAGTTTAAGGGGTTGAGCAGGTCCTCAAGAAACATTGTGTGATGGTTCTACCTGTTATCCAAAATCAGAATGTTTTTTATATGAGCTTGGAGAATCAGTAGTGTGCAAAAGTCTTAGGCAGTCAAATAAATTGAAACTATTTATCTTGGCAGTAAATATGTTTTGTGTTTTTGTGGGATACTATATAACAGTGGCCACCATCCTTGGTCCTGAAGATCTACCTTCCTGCAGAATCTAGCTCTAACCACAGTCTGTCACACCTGCTCCAGCTAATTAACTTCTTCAGAAGTCCTTGATTGCCTAGATCAGATTCAGTAGTGTTCGGTAAGCGGGAGACAGCAGGCTGGAACTAAACGGGTTGGTGACCACTCCTATATAATATTAGAATGAATGCCTAAAAACCTAAATACAGTAAAAAAAAGTTACAAGAACTTCTTGTTTTTAAAAAGATTATTAATAACTTGGTTCTGGGCTTCTCCTGATACCCCCAGCCAGTGCATAGCACACCTGATTAAATTTAATGAAGGATTGATTAGCTTAAGTAGGTAATGGATGGTAACTGTAAATACTGCACTTTCTTGAGGAGACGTTTATACATGGTCAAGTTAACACACTCCCACATATTGTTTTTTTTTTTTGTATTTATTTTAATGTTAGTGTTTTTTAACAGTTACTTTATGTACTACATTTACTATACATACTGTCATGTTCTCATTTTGTCATTTAAACAGTGCTGTACATTAAAAAAATAAAATAATAATAAAAATGTTTAAAAAAAGATAAAAAAAAAAAACAAAAAAAACTTGAGCTATATGAAAGTTTTTTTCAAGTTAACTCCAGTAGGATATTAACAACTCTAGTGAATCAAAGTAAACAAAAATTCACAAATGAAAGCAAAAGTTTGGGCACCCAGTCATATAACATTTTTTTGATTTTCTAAAAGAAAATAAGTTACACATCCTCTACGGGGAACACACCTCTGCACATTTTAATGCACAGTTACTTTGTATATGCAGAATTTAACATAAAACACAAAATGCATCCTGTGCAAATGTCATGGCACATTTTATGTGGTAACTCAGCAAATAAATAGAAATTGTGCAGTAAGATTGCACAGAAAAATGCCATATTTAAGTTTGTTCTGTGTAGAAAATGTGTTTTTTTTTACTTAGAAAATTAACAAGATGTGTTATTTGACTGTGAGTATTCAAGCTTGTTTGCAACATGCAGTGATAGAAGAGAAACTGGAAGCTCTTTAGGTCTGTGATGATTTATCCTTTATAAGTTACAGAATATAAACAGCACTCTAAACTACAGAAGCCTGTAAGACCCGGTATTATTAAATTATATTTCACTTTCTTACAGAGACAAAATATCACCCATGGAGCACAATATACAGCTTGTCTCATATAAAAGAACCAATAAGGGGACGTCCCAAATTCAACATATAGCTGGAATTTGTTAAAGATGGGTTTAAAACATAAAGAAAATAATTGAACATAAATATATGTTGTACTTGTTTGCTTTTTATCTGATAAAAGAGAAGAATCAGCTAAATCAGTAGACACTGTTAAAGTAGCATGGCATGCAAGGCACTGTATAATTACTAGTGCAACAGAGTATATCCTGCAGTGTTTTGCACTTACCTGAAACAGACAAATTAAAAACACTAGGTTGCTCAAACTCTTCAGCTGGAAGTTCACTCAGGCTGACACATCTTCGGATATAAACATCAGTGAAAAGTGACCGAGTTTCACCTGGTGGCTGTGGATCTGGAGTACGTGGTGGTTAGGACGGTTGTCTTCAGTCAGATGCGGCGGGCGTGTTCTGTCTGAACCAGTATGATCAGAATGTGCCTCAACTAGTCAGGCCACACTTCTGCCACTGTGACAGTCTCAGTCTCAAACGAACTCCTCTTTCTTGAGAAATCATGACATGTTCTGAGTGTTTGCAAACTTGACTGCAACTGTCCTGGGGGGACATTTCACAAAGCAGGATCAGTTTATCCAAACAACATAAGCCAAAAGTCAAGCCTGTCCAGTAGGTAAAGATCTGAGGGACATTCCTATTGGACAGTCCTCATTTCTGGGTTGAGGTTATCTGGCTAACTAATAAATACTGCTTTGTGAAACTCCCCATGGTCATGTAAGATTGTTTATTATTCTTGTCATTGTTACTAATTAGCTTACAATTGAAAAACCAGATTGTTGAATTATGAATTAATTATGAATTAATCAGTATTAATCAGTACAATATTAACAAAAAAATATTCTTTTTTGAAGTAGAAAGATTGAAAAAAAACCCTAAATGTTATCAGGACATACCCTAATTGTGTGTGCCACAATTATTGGCACTCCTTCATTTAATACTTTGTGCAACCTTCTTTTGCAAAGATAACAGCTCTCAGATCGAGATAATGCTAAGATAACACTTAATGAGACTGGAAAACACATGGCAAAGGATCTGAGACTATTCCTCCATACAGAACCTCTCCAGATCCTTCAGATTCCAAGGTTTGCACTGTGGACTCTCCTCTTTAGTTCACACTACAAGTTCTCTATGGGGTTTAGGTCAGGGGTCTGGGGTGGCCATGGCAAAACCTCAATTTTGTGGTCAGTGAACCATTTTTGTTCTAATTTTAAAGCGTGCTTTGGATCATTGTCCTGCTGGAAGATCCAAACTATGGCCCAATTTAAGCTTCCTGGCTGAGACGATCAGGTTTTGCCTTTATTTCTGTAATTATTTCTGAGTGCTTGATGGAGTCTGTGATGCAGTGTATCTGAATACATTGTCCAGGGCCTTTGGAAGGAAAACAGCACCACTATATCTCAAATCTACCACCCAGCTTCACAGTGGCGATGGGTACTTTTCTACATGACTATCTTTGTCCCTACCCAAACTCACCTCTAGTGTTTTTTGCCAAAAACCTCTATTTTGGTCTAATCTGACAGTAGAATACAGTCCCTCTGGAAGTTCCAGTAATGTTTGGCAAACAGCAGGAACTTGAGTTTGTTGGTCCTTGACAGCAGGTGCCTCCTTCTGGCAACCCCCCCAAACAACTTGTGGTCATATAGGTAGAGTTTGATTGCAGTTTGACAGACATTGTGACCTCAAGACCTAACTAATGTCTGCAATTCCCCATTTGTGATCCTTAGAGATTGCTTTTCCACTCATACCATCCTCCTCACTGTGCGTGGGGTCAGTATGGACATACATCCTCTTCCCGGCAGATTCTTAACATCTCCAGTTGTTTTAAACTTTCATTAATGCTCTAATAATAATGCGCTATTTTCTTGTTTCTATTTCCTGATGTGTGCAGCTCAACAACCTTTTGTCACACATCTTTGCTGTTTTCTCTGGTCTTTCTCATAATGATGGATGAGGGAATCTGGCATGTGTTTTATGTCATATATATTCCCCAGTGAATTAGGAAGTCATGGCTGACCATTCAAGTGTAATATAAAATATGAATGGAAATATACTTCAGTTAGAAGATTTAAGATTATAGATTTAAGAATTTCTAAGGGTGCCAATAATTGTGGCACACATAGATTTAAGAAAAATATTTCCTGACAAGATTTAGTTTTTCAATCATTATACTTTAAATAAAGGTTAGGATTTTGCTAATATTTTGAATTAAAGATGAAAAAGCAAAAATAATTATATAATATATAATCTACTATATATTATAAATATTTTGTATGTACCTATATTTTACTCAAACAAAATCAACAAAGCATGTAACTTGATCAGGAGAACCCAAACTTTTGCATAAAACTGAACAGATGTTTAATAAAAAATATTTAAAGCATTTAAAATACTTTATTATGGTAGCATATTATTTAAATAGTTTGTTAAAATAAAAATTATGAACAGAGGAAGAAGGAAAATGCCACAATATTCAAAAGTACTGAGGTTTTTTCATCTGTATTGGTCTACCTTCACATAAAAGCCCCTTTCCCAGATTTTATACATCACTGTCTGTTACGATAGCCCTCCCCCCTTACAACAGCCACCATGTTGTTTATTGATGGTTTTGTAATATGTTTTAATAGGTTGATGTCCCCATGTAAAGGAGCGTAATGGTTTAACAGGTGACCAATGGCTGATTCTAAATGTACTTGATGGTTTCGTAATGGGATCTATATGTGTTCTGCAGGAAACTAGTGGTCTCTATTGGAAATTATTAAGGCAATTCCCATTAGAAAGTAAAACCCTAATCCTAATGATTTCTTATTATCCTTTTTCAACAGGAACAGCAGCTCTGAATTTTTGGAGCATTTATTTACTATTAAGTTGTATTAAATTATAAATATTTTTTGAATATAACACTGGTAAATCCTTATTCTGCATCATATCTTTACTATCAAAAAAAAAATGAAAAATTTGAAACCATGCTGATCGGGGCTTTAAATAAACAGGAGTGGCAACTGGTAAACACACAAGTTCGCTAACTCGCTAATTTTAGTATTTAATTTTCAAGCAACTAATAACCCCAAAAGATCTGATCAATGACTGATCCTTAAACTTTTGTATAGATGACAATTTAGCTAGCTGGCTAGTAAGTTGACTAACTTCAGTGAACATTAACGCTAGCCATTGCTGGCTAAATAACTGCTTCTAACTTGAATAAACTTAAATTTTGAATTAGTCATTCAGCTGGCCATATATATATATATATATATATATATATATATATATATATATATATATATATATATATATAGTTGGCATCATATTCAAAAAACAATAAAATTCTCAGTTTCAACAGTTGATTTGTTGTCATTGCACTTCAATGAAACATAGGGTTTAAATGATTTGCAAATCATTGCATTTTTTATTTACATTTGGCACATTATTTACATTTGTGTCCCAACTTTTTTGGAAATGGGCTTGTACATTTTAAAAAGCCTAAAGACTCATTTAAGCAGACTTCATAAGCAAGCTACTAAGCCCTGTAAAAAACTTATTCCCAAGGTTGGGCACATGGGTAAAACACGAATAAACTTAGTATGCCATTTTCAAGACAAAACATTTCACTTTTTTTTTCAAATACAGACTCTATAGTCCTTGATTTTTAAAACAAATCACTACAGCAACAATAAACAGCATTAAATGATAAATATATGCATATAACTCCAATTCAACAAAAATATTAGATAATACCATATAATTCTAAGCCACATTAAATTGTTTAGATCATTAATATATCATAGTACTAATAATCACAATTAGTTATCCAACAGTTTGGCGTTATGTAGCCGAGCAGTCACATTCACCATATGGGCTAGTGTGTGTGTTGTGTATTGATTTTTTTCTGGCATTGCTGCTTAATGTAAGACACTTGAGATCATTTCCAAATGCCATTTTTGGTATCAGATCAAATTTCCAAAAGATTGTGATTGTTTTAAATTGCAGCTGTTGCTAGCCCACCAGCCACAAAAATACTGTATTTACTGTTTATGTACTGAAAAATTCTTCATGGTATACATACATCTGTGTGATGTTTTACAGTGACCACTGGAACTCATAAGAAGTTAACAGCATTGACAAACTAACAGTCTTTTCTGTAATTAGTCTTCACTACCTGGAAGGCACTTCACAAAACAGTGAATGTAAATAACAGCCTGCCCAAACGCTGCATGATGCACAGTACTGTCTGTAAGTACCAGTTTAGACAAGCAAAATAATTTAAAGAGGAAAAGACAAAAGTACATAATGAATTGTCCCTTTCTGGAATAATCTTATTTTCCTTTTTGAGCTCATTCCTCTTGTTTTAGGTGAGCAGAGATATTTTTAGACAAATTTAAGCAACAGTTCAGTCAAAAATCAAATGTACACAATTTTCCTCTTCCCTGGATGTAGACAATCAGCCATGTGTGGTGTCTAAAGTTTCTTTATTTTAGTACTGAAGCTAAAATGCTAATGTAGGTAATAAGTAATGGAGGCCTATAGTCACCAATTAGCATCACATAAACTGCATGGTTAAATCATCACTCACTTCTCTCAAACCACATTAAGTTGTTAATTCATCTCAAATAGACTTGTTTGTGTAGTTTCTAACACTGTATCAGATGATGTTATCTATAAAGATGTACAAGATGTACAGAAGTATGTCACATAGCTGAAAACAGTGGTAGTGGCCATCTGGAAGCTTGAATTCTGTTTGTACATTGCTTTTTTGTGTACATTTGATTTTTAACTGAACTGTTGTTTTGAGGTAATTTTCATTCACGCAGTGCCCTAGCCTTAAAGACAGTGCCCCAAAGTCTTACAGACTGTCCTCTAGGCCAGTCACCCAGCACCATTGTCTCTTTCCTTTGTTTTGTCTCCTCCATTCCCAGAGGAGTCTGAGATCTTCCGTTCGCTTGTGGTTTCTGATGGCGTGTGAACCAGTTTTCCACTCTTAGCTCTTCCCCCAGCTGTTACTGAGCCACTCCAGTCTAGGATTAAAGGTCAGATAGCAATTTTCATTAACTCACCCTGATATGCTTTTAAATGGTCTGTGCATCATGCTCCTGCTTATGTAATGTAACACATAACTTTTGTATAATGAATATCTCAGTGTGCTCTTGACCTCACCTGAGTAGTCAGTGAGTTTGAATTTTCCACAGCAGAGGTGAATCCTCCATTGCTTACGGACGTTCTCTTTCATGAGGCAGTGGAACAGGAAGATAAAAAACCCTGAAACATGAAAACTCAGTAAATCATATACACATCAAGCAGAATAATGACTTATATATTTCTAGGTATATAGGTAGATGCGTAATATTTGCAGTTGTTCCAAGAGTCTTTCAAAACACTGAAGAGCTGAAATACTGTACATTTGTATGCAAATGTCTGGGCGCCTCCTGGGCAAATTACATGTTTTGTTGTGCTAATAGCATAGGGCCAAGAAGCACAGCCTTTATGGACTTCGGGCAGTCAGAATCCTTTGTGCACATATATGCCCCTGAAGAAAGTTTAAGACAAATGAAATAAACTACTACATGCTGCCTAAAAAGCCAGAAAAATAGTACAGTAAAGTATACGTTTCTTTAGTGTTTCTCCAGAGGGTGTGAATTAAATGTAGGAATTCAAAGGCACCTGCTTTAAGCAGGCTGAACAGTTATTACTTTGCAGCATGGCATGCTAACAAACATGCTATGTTTTGCTTGCCAGCTTATTATCACTCACATCAACAGTATTTCCTCCGTAAAATTTCATCAATCAACTCCAACTCCTTTTTGATGATTGTGACCAAGTGGCCTTCATAGTACAGTGCTAAAGAGAGTGCAGTCAACTTTCTCTAGCGTTCCAGCTTTTGGAACACAGTTAATATGTACAAAAGTGTCCAGACAGACTTTTTAATTAATAAATTCAGTAAATTTTGCACACTTTGCTGACACAGGTGATACAGTGCATAGACACTGCTATGTCATCTCTGTAGAAAAGCAGCTGCACACAAATGTGGCACCAGCGAGAGGAGTTTAAAGGGTCACTTCATGTGAAATCACCAACTGCCTAACCATCTGTGATTTGCTTAGTATTTTTTAAGAGAAAAAAGTCATGGTGCTCAGTAGGCAGTGTGCAAAACCTGTGTCTTTATTAGTTTCTGAGGTGTAGAAAAAAGTGTGTGCAGCCTTAATTGAACTATTAGATGAATGAAATATTTAAGTACTGTATAATATACTAAATATTAAAGTTTGAAAGATCTGAAGATGGGATGTATAAATTTGACGGGATCTGGGATGTATAAATTTGCTTCAAAGCACACAGTGTATATAGTTTTTTTCAGCATTTGGTAGTTAAACACACCCTAAATTTTATGCATTTTATGCAAATTTAGCCCCAGACAATAAAATATAAGCCTAACTTTTTACACACTCTCTTTTGAAATAATAACATTATTTTATGAAAAAATAAGCAAATCTATGATGGGAACATTTTCTTAAATTTTGTTATCCTGAATATACCCTCAAATGATTTATCATGCACTTTGGATTGATAAAAGACCATCAAACGCTTTAGGGATGAGTTAGATGGTCATTTATAGGCCTGACCTAAACTGGCAGCATTAGTACCTGATATACCTTAATATAGTTACTGTGGCTCAATGATAAACCCAGCATGGACATCTCAATGTCCAGTGGAAAGCATTCCAAGAAGAGTGCAGTAAAGCGGGGACAAACTTCCAATGCCCTTATTTTCAGAAGAAACATGGGACAAGCAGGTGTTTGGATACTTCTGGACACGTAGTGTATCTCCGACTCAGGAGGCTTTGCCTCTGATCTATCTGCAGCCCAGTTGTCTTACCCTGCAGACTGTTGAGGGCAGAGAAGAGGTAGAGGAGGGGCAGTTGGACAGGACCCCAGGCAAAAAAGGCCAAAATCCAGGTAAGGCCCAGCAGGCAAGTGAGGCTGGCCACCACACGCAGGTCATGTAGTATTCCTCTGCTAGTGCCCGCCGCCTTACTGAGATGCAAACCACGGATTTGGGCCAACACCAAGCCGAACACACAGATGTTAGAGAGCAAGATCAGAACCACAAATGCCACCACCGTCACAAAAAACGCTGTGTCATTCTGCACCCAGCAACTGCAGAAAACACAGGAAGAGGGCACAGCAATGGTTTAGTGATTCTGTCTGATGCAGGTGTTCACTAGGAAGACTGAACTACCTAAAACAGACACTTACAAAGGTGAAGTACTGTTGACTGGTGTTATGGACACAGCGCTGCCATAGCAGTCTTTATCTGCAGCAAGCACTATGCTAACAATTATCAGAGGCAAACCTGAAAAGAACATTTCAGACATTAACACCACGAGGCAATGACCATTTTCCAATCATTTTTAACATCAGCTGTACTTTCAGAGATACCCTGCATCCTATTTTGTGTTTTTCAACATTACATGCATTATAGATGAACTGATAATTAGCTGATAAGTTGAATCAGGGATGTTAGAGCAGGGAAAACACCTAACTTCACTCTCAGGTCTACATAACTTATTTATTCCTTTCATATTAGTTACCAAATCATTCCAAGTATTTCCCCTTTAACAAGCTGGAAGAAGATTAACTGAAGGACAAGCCGGGAGTTTAAGGACAAATTCTGTAAAACAACAACGTGCCCTGTCTTAGTACTAAACTCTTTACTAAATTTGTCCTTCATTTCATTCAGTTACTTTGCAAAAGTCAGAGATTACCCTTCAGTTATTTCGTTTCCAGTCAACATGGCCAGTAAGTACAAGTTATTTATTTTCTGTATCAGGGTTAAACGTAAGTTTAACAGAAAATTATACTAAAGCTTCAACAACCAGCTATTATATCCTTTTTCATTCAGTGTTTTGTGTGTCCACCCTTTGACTTTATTACAGCTTCAATTCTTTTCAGGAGAACTTTTTTCCACATCTTCAAAAGTTCAGAGCTGGTTGCATGTTCTGCATCTGCAAACACATTCAGTGATGTTGAGGTCTGGGCTCTGGGCTGTTCTGAGAACACCAGCAACTTCTTTTTTAATTTGCAAATAATAGCTCTAATAATAGATAGACATCCTTTCAGACTCATAGTGTTGAGTTGTCTTCACACAGTGGAAGGATGGACAGAAACATTGGTGGATTTTTTTCAGATCTGAAGCAAGAGTGGAGCTAAACTGAAAGAGCTAAAACCTCAAAGATGAAAGTGCTGTTTATCTGATGGTGACAGTTTTGGTGGTCTACCAGGTGTTGCACAGTTGTTATGAGTCTCATTTTCTCTGTATCTTTTGATATTTTTTTAAACCCTTGTTTTGGAAACTGTTTTTTCACTTATTTTCCTTTGGCTTTCTGCATCTCCTTGCAAATGGATTATATTATATCTTGTGTGTCCTCAGAAATGTCTCTTGGATTTCATGGCTGTTTTGACTGGAGCTTAGTTAAATGAAGAATAGTCTCAGATTTTTGCACAGTACTTTTGTTAACTACATATTATATTATATGTCTCACCCCATCCAAGTGCGCAGAATTTAAGGATGTAAGAGGGCACGTAGACATTAAAGACTTTGACAAAGGCCAGGTACATATTTATCGCCTCTAGTCCCATCCAGGTGAATGAGGCCAGTAAGAAGTAGTGGAGAATGGCAGCCACAGCAATGCAGAGGCCATAATTGTTGAATTCAGCAAGCCATGAGTTTAACAGGAAGCACATATTCAAACCCAACAAAGCCCCAGATAGGTTCATGAGGATTTTAGACGGGTAATCACGACGCAGCTTTCTATAAAAGGAGAGGACAAAGCAGAAGAGATTGCATGTAATTATGGAGTCTGAACTATGGCTGAACCATATAGACAAAATACTAGCACTACAATTGTATTGCAGCGTATTGAGATTGTGAGATGTCTTGCAATATATTTAAAACACAATAGTGAATCATTAATGTTATATAGTCATCTGGAGCTGTGATTGCTCAAGATGACCACAGCACAGAGCATTAAACACTGTGATTGGTTAGAGGGCTTATTTACATACTGCAGCCATCTAGAATATTACTAAGATCATGATATGATTAACCAATGATATGCTGAATGCCCAGTTTGTACATTATCTACTATCTTATACTGCGTGGTGATAATTCATGACTGTGAACTCACCCAAAGGCGATGTAAGTCAGCAAAGTGGTGCCTAGAAACACAGATGATATGCCACAGCCCAGGTATGTAATGACTGTCAGAATCATGTTATCTGTTGGGGTTATTGGCGTTTTGGAGACATCCTGAAAGATAGGATTTAGGGCTTAAGTATTATAGAAAATATTCCAGAAGGCGTGTTAGGATATTGAACACATCATCGGTGTCATAACAAAACATTGTATCTTTGATTTGGTAATGTAACAGGACAAACAAAACTGTTCCTAACTTTGATGTGCAGTACTGTGCAGAAGCCAGAGACCACCCTTCAGTTATTTAACTTCTAGTTAAAATGTCCAGTAAGTACAAGCTACTTATTTTTTGGGAGATTTTTTAAAAAATGTTAAAGATTTAAAGAAAATAGGACTCTTAACAACCATGAAATCCCTGGTAGACCATCGAAACTGTCACCATCAGATAAATAGTACTTAAAATTTCCATCTTTGAGATACAGAAAATCAAATTTCACTCTTGCGTCAGATATAAAAAATCCACCTCCATGGTGAGAAGACAAGCCAATGGTGTAAAAATGATTTGAAAAGACGTGTAGCTGTCAAGCCATTACTGAGAAAAAGAAATAGGCAAAAATTGACAAAATTTGCAAATCAAACAAAGACGCTGCTGATGTTCTCAGAACAATGGACTGTCCACCCCAGCATCCAGACCTCAACATCATTGAATGTGTTTGAGATTATGTGGATCATAATAAACCAATATTTTGGTTTTAATTTTCTGTCAAATAAATGTTTTTTTTTCAGTTCCTTTCCTGATTATGCAAAATCAATATCCTGTACTTAATGGCCATCTTGACTGAAAATTAAATAAATGAAATGTGGACTTTTGCACAGTACTATACATTAATGTAATTCCATTTAATTCTAAGTAATTTTGGACAATTCCAAAATTATTGGTCCATTCATCAGGAAATATTTACACAATGTAAGGAGTTGTGATATCTTTAATCTGACACTTTATTACATATCACACTATGACAATATATGTGACAGTATTCACACTGCTTACCAGAAGCACTCCAAAATGTGTGAGATGAAAGCAGATGCAGGATGTATGAGTGACATTGGTGTGTTTAACCTGGCATCCATTATCATCCCATCCACCTTTTCCATCTGTCACAAAGACAAATGCACAAACATTGACACTTACTGAAATGTACTACACACACAGATGTCAGCCTTGTACGGAACATTATAAAATTAAGCTTACTGTTCTTCTCTAAGTTCCAGTACACACATTGGGCCGTGCTGTAGTCCTGCAAGAGGGAAAATGAGGTGAAGCACTGTTCTTTTACACGTGTGATGACTAGCTAACTGATCTAACTGAAATGACTAACTGATCTAATTGGTGCTTTACTGCAAGACAGTATTCAGCTGACAGAAACCAGAGGCAGTGATGGGGGAAAAATGCACTGACTTGTTGCTGCCCATTAAGTTGCTGATGCCATTCAAAGGGGAATTCCAGAGATTTTTACAGAATTTCTGCAGAATTCAGTGGTTCAAACATAAATACATTCAGTGTTTTGATGTGAATTGGTGCATCATACAGAAACTTTCTTTACAATGGTGGTGATAAGGGTCACACTGCCAACAACACAATTATAGCCATTTTATTTACTATCAAAAACCACCAGTGAACCTACACGTGTCTTTTGTGATTTTACGTGACGTTAATAATGGTCAAACTGTGGCTATCTAGAAAAAAAACATATTTTCTTTGGGATCTATTTTGCTCATAAGAGCCTTAATGAACTTCTCTACCAGTGATGGATTTTAAAAAATATGTTTTAGAGCAATATCTGAACTATTGATAACTATTTTGTGTAATCATCTTATGTGATGCAGCTTTTAGAGGCATTAAACACTTTGAACGTCTGGATTCAATCACCACCACTGTGAACTTGGTAAGTGTCTCTAGAATGGAGCATTTCACATCAAACCACTCTAAGTTATGTAGTTTATATCTTAATGATGTAATTGTGCATAGTTTTTGAAAAATCAGTGGAACTGTCCTGTAAGTGAACCATTATTGAAAGGATCACTACCACCTGCTGGCAACAATAATTATGACACTTTCCACCAGTTCTATTTCATGGATTTCTGACTGTTTGTTTGTTTGTTGGGATGCAAACGATATTACCCAAGTGGTTACATACTTCTTTGGGCTGAAGATGAAGGACAGTGACAACCACTGGATCCTTCAAGTCATTCACAGTAGCATTGGTTACACTGGCAGACAGCACGTAGGAATTCAATGTCAGGCTGCTACTAGGGTCCTATAATGAGAATCAGAATCACTTTATTTTGCCAAGTATGTTAAATACACAGGGAATTTGTCTTGGTGAGTGCAGACATGTATGACATGTAACACACTGAACAGACCAGACAAGCACACAGACTGCTAACAAGTATTTAACTATGGGAAAAATACAATACAAAACAGTAAATAAAATAAAAGATAAAGAGATGTGTGAATATGTACATATGCAGATAAGTATATCGATATGTATGCAGATCTGAGTAGAAATATACCATAAATACTCTTATATACAGAATATTACAAAAAGATATGACTGTTGTAAAAATGTAACATCTGTACAGTTGTGTAAATAAGCATTATGTTACAGAGGAGTTACTGTAATATGGTAAGGGAGGTTGTTTAGTTTAAATGAAACATTCAAGGCTGATTTCATATAATACATTTAAAACACCCAAAAGTAAGAGGATAACAAACCCTAATAAATTTTAAGACTTTTAAGAATTTAATTTTAATACTTTTGAGTATAAGAGAACAAGTAAATTGTACTTTCACACATAAGAATTCTGGAGGTGGCAGTTACCTCAAAGAGATTTTCTGTGCCATAGAAATGAAACTGAATGCGACTCATGTTTTGATTGTTTTGGGGGAAGAAGTTCTCCAGAGTGAGGGGTAAGGATATAGATGCCACTGAGCTGGGAGACGACTCTGCAAAAGCCTGGTTGAGAAATATCTGCAATAGAGAGAAGATTATGCTTTATTACAGAGAGCAACACTGGGAGAATATCCTTCTCTGAAGCGACTACTTATACATTGTATACTGAAAAATTATAAACTGGAAGATTGAAGGTGTCTTTAGATGTATTAGATACCTTTGGGAGCAACAAGAAATTCTTAAATGATAAATAATATATAGTGATTATCTGTAATGATTTAAAGTACGTTTTCTATCTTAGATTTGATCATCACTTTCAAATATAAAGCATTCTGGACTTATTTTATTCTAACTGTATTCTCACCCTTAATGTTAAGTACTGTGTTTTACAGCTTTCTTAGTCATTAAGGAATCATCTATAGCTCTGTTCATCATTCTATACACGCCTAACATTCCTACATTTTTTTATGGCTTCCTACAAATTAGTTGAAACCTGTGAAGTTGTAGCATCCTAGCATCCTCTAGCATCCTATGAGAATCATTCTATACATGCATCTGCAACAAAATTGGTTTTGGGTTAATGATATGATGCACACTTGTCATGATGAAGTCCATTATTTCCCTATTAAATAACTTAATAAATAGACAATGACTGATATCACATTATCCTACAATGCCTCCCTTATGCGCATTTTCAGGGCATCAGAATCAAATTAATTTTAGGCATTTATGGGTCCCTAAAAATGTCAGGTGGTGCAACGCTCCAGCTATAAATGCAGACTAAGTAAACCATTTAAATGGGTAATTTGGTCATAAAAGAAATTCAAAATTAAATAGTTTGGCATAATTTTAAGTTTGAACCTTTTAAAACATGAACATGTTGCAAAATCAAAAAATATTGAACCCACTGAAAGATGTTTTTCTTTTAATTCTGATTTCCTCAAATGCACATGGCACAACAGAAAACTTTAATCCTGTTTTTTTTTTTTTAGAAAGAGTGGGCAGTGTATTACATCATAGAGAAGATTCCCATGTGAACTTAATGGTCTGTAGCCCTTTTACAAATATTGAAAAAATGTTTTTTTTTGAGTGGTTAGTTTACCTCAGGTGGTATAGTATGACCCCAGGAAAACAAAAATATTGTTATTATTATTATTATTATTGTTATTATTATTATTATTATTATTATTATTATTATTATTATTATGTTTATTTATAAAATAGTGTTTATTTATAAAAAATGTATCTCTAATGACAAAAGACATTTATATGGGTGTCTAAGTACAAAGACAGTTTTTTCAATAGCAGTAAATAAGTTTTATTAAGTGATAATTCTGTTTGAAATTTAGCTTGTACCATTACAAAAGCAATTAAACAAATATCAATACATTGAATTATTATATTACAGAAAAAAGTGATTAAAAGTAAATAAAATTAAGGTTTAAAATGATTTTATAGTGTTGTATGAAAGTAATACTGCATCTCTAGAATAACACTTTTCCACCATTTCAATAATGTTATTGATCATTTGAAGTGTTAGGTCAATGGTGACATGAGGGTGTCTCACCTCAGGAGATAGGCCTGCCTGGAAGGAGGACACTCCAAATGTAAGTCCCTGGAACTCCTCGGTCTCCAGGTTGATTAGCTGCAGCGCAAGTGAAGGAGCTGTGGTGCTGTGACAAAACCCAGAGAAATCCATCCTGTTTCCCACCCTTTCTGTGATTGAGAGGATTCTGAACCATACAAAAGAAGAGAGCAGACAGAGAGAGAAGAGTTCAGACGCAATGTGATGGTACCACATATTTTTGATACTTTATAATGTAGATGTGTCAACTCCAGTAAATCCTTTTTAGGGAGCACTAAAGCTCCCTAAAGCTGTCTTTTAAATTCCCCATCTGAGATACTGTTGATACTGTCATTCAGCTCTACTGCTTCATTACAAAGAATTACACAGAACAGCTTCTGCTATACTTACTTGTTTGTAGCTTGGGCAAGAAAGGATGTGGAATCTAAGACATCTGAAACCACACTAATGATGTTGTCAGCAAGCTGAGTGGTCATGATGCCAACTTCAGTGATCTCAGACAGTTTCTGCAGCACAGTGTTCAGCTGGGACAAACTCAAGTCTGTCTCATTATGCAGCAGGTTCTCAAGCATGCCCAAAACATCTGCTGAATTGTCTAGAGGAGAAAGAGTACAAAGGCATGTTCAGAGTCCTTACACTGGAAAAAGTGAATATAAAAAAGTAGGAAAAGAAGTAAAAGGATATAAGTAACGGCTAAGAGGATAATAGTTGGCTCTATTTAATAACATTAAAGGCTTCTAGCTATGGCTTACAACACAAAAAGGGGAAATGATGTATGGCTGGAAATATCTGCCCTGAGGCGTTGCAAAGATGGCTGCCAAAAGGACAGGTCTTTTTTATATGGACTTTCACCACCAGAGCTCGGCGTGAAAACTATTTACAGGCAGAATTATGTTGGCTTACTGTATTTGTTAATACAAACTTTAATGTGATTTCAAATTACAAATGACATCTTATAACAATGTTGAGTTAGCTAGCTATGCTAACTTTTCATAATGTAGTTTATGGTTAAAATATTCTGTGTATAGATAAATATTAACACTCCTACACATGCCCTCATTTGCACTGTTAAGGATAAAATCCTTGTCTAAAAGATGCTGGGGTCTCCTCAGCATAGAGATGACTAGCTTCAGCGTTAGCTTTAGCATTAGCTCATGAGAAGAGGCAGCTTTTTTTTTTTTAGCTCAAACCTCCCTCTTATTAGATGTGAAAACCTATTTCTGACCACAGGACCACTGTTGACAGATATTCCTTGGGGTTCGGCCATGCTCATTCTCACTGATATGATATTAATATGGCAGTGTGTGTGGTGCTAGTATGAGTGAATCAGACATTAGTGTCACTGCTAGGTTGAGAGTGGCCCACCACCAAAACATATCAAGCCAAGAGCAGCTCTGTGGCCAGAAACCGATCACTGATGTAGAGGTGGAGGATGGCTAACACAGGTTGTGCGTAGTACATGTCATAAGCAATCATCTGAAAATGTTACAACATACACATATGATATGAAGCACTTACTTGCCGTAACTGTGATCCCTTCCAAATCATCAATATCAGTCATGACCTTCTCACATCTTGACATATCTGGGGGATCCCAAATCACTCCATCAGTGTTGCCATCCAGTTTACTGAGGAAAACAAGAAAATGAATTCATTTTAACACATAAAAATTAATTCATCATTAAATCAAGGCTGTATGTACACATTGAACATGTTTTTCTAAAAACAGTTCTGGTTTAATGATGTGAACTTCCTTCTGAAAAACATTTGACAGCTACTTTCCTTCTCAGTAGTTACGGTAGTCAGAGAGCAAACACAATGAAAGCTGTGGTTAACATTAGAGAACAGCCAGAATCCTGCAATATAAAAATGCTGACGCTCCATAAAATAAATTGCCTTTATCTTACGATTATTAAATTTGCATTGTTATCTTCATCTGTCTGAGGATTAATATTTGAGTTATTTGAGATAATTCATGCATTATATTTACAGATAATGGTTCAACTGGGGATATTGCTTGGTATAATCATATAAAAAGGCTTATTAATCAGTCCAGCCAGCTGAAGACTGAGCGTTTAGAGTGTGTGCTGTGTGACGCAAAGACACATGGAAAAAGGGAGTGTTACCCGAGGGGCCTGCCGTACTCTGGTTTAGCATCTCTGTGGAAACATAATATTTATACTGTCTACACCATAGAATTTACAATAAAAGTAGTAAAGAAATGACAGGTATTATGTGATATCAGCTATAGTACAGCTGTATCATAACTTGACAGTCAGTACAATAAAAGCTTAAATCAACTGTATTTTTGATTTAGGAGCACTGGGCATTGTGTTCATTCATCAGAATAAAAACTAAAGCAAAACCCCTGCTGTCAGCTTCAGTGATAGATGTGATGGTGTAAATTGCTTACCAGAGTCTTGTGGCACTGTCATGGCCCTTCTCACACTTCATTTCATATGTGTCCTGGGCTTGTATGGAGGGCCATGTGTACAGGCCATAAACCGTTTGAGTGGTATCCTCTGGACAAAGCCCAGGCTCTGAACAAATAAACAGCATTCTTAAAATCTGCATGTAAGCATGGACAGCTGGCTTTTACAACATCAAATAATTTACTGCTATCTATCTATACTGCAGTCACTAGAAGAGATATATCTTACTATTGTAATACATCAGACCGTTTTTTTTTTCACTGAACTATGGTTAAGTTGTTTGTTCCTGTATCATATGTCATATGCAAAAGATAAAAGCTTTGTCCCCTGCACCATAACAGCTCTCAACAAACTACACCACTGAAACAGAGAAAGCAGAATGCTTGTAAAGGGATACAGGATACACAATACAGTCAAGTACAAATCCCCTACAGAGAACACACTTCTGTATGTTTTAAGACACAAGTAGCGTTTATTTGCTGAATTTAACATATTAAAATTTGGCCTATACAAAGGTTTCTTTTTCCAAAATGCTAAACTCAGCAAAAAAAAAAAATATATATATATAGAGGTACTGCCCCAGTGACAGTTTAGTACCTTTAGTACCTTTAGTATATATATATAGTTCTACAATTACAGACTGTAGTCCATCTGTTTTTCTGCATGCTTTGTTGTCCCCTTTTACCCTGTTCTCCAATTGTCTGTATTAATTGGGCATCATTCTCAACACTGCAGTGGCACGGATGTAATGGTGATGTGTTAGTGTGTGTTGTGCTGGTACAAGTGGATCAGACACAGCAGTGCTAAGAATGATCCACCACCCAAATAATATCTGATCATCAGTAGTCCTGTGAATCGGGTAGAGGGTGACTTTAAACAGTGCACAACAACAAATGGGCTACAGTCTGGGTTGGTGGACCTCATAAAGAGGCCATAGTAAGTAAAAGGTAGATGTTTGTAATAAAGTGGACAGTGTGTAAATTCTAGTATTCTAGTATGGTTAATATTTACAGTACATAAGTCATACCTATGCGTAAGATGCTGATTTGATTGGCTGAGACATTAATTGTGATGGAACCGTTGGAAAATCCTTTTGTTAAGAGGTCAAAAATGAGCATCCTCGTTTCATTGACATTCACTGGAGCAAAGGCCTGGACATGAAAGGTGCAGCCATATCTGTAACACATGGAAACATCTCTCAGCTTTCATTTCACTGATAAGTGAACTAAATTATCTACACAATAGAGAAGCACAGGTGTAACACTCAAAAAGTACCTGGAGTCTGGTGCTGATTTCCCTCCGCCATTTTGACTGGATTGACATCCCCAAAGAAACACAAACAGAAAAGATCATACACCATTCTATACTCATAGTAACTGAATAACAGTCACTCCAAATCAATATATATATAATTCTTTTACATTTAAAATACTAGAATTCAAATTTGCATTGAATTTAGGGTCAACAAAAATCTCTTTCAACCAAAATAATCTTTATTTAATCTTTATTATAATCTTCTTAATCCTTTCACAACTAACCCTTTAAATGGCCAAGACCTGTTAATGGGTGCAAACATTTATTAAACACATACTACACTTTCAGAAAAAAGGTACTAAACTGTCACTGGGGCAGTACCTCTCTTGTCACTGTGGTCGTACCCTTAAGGGTACATCTCAGTATGTTTAGCCAGGGAACATAATTGCACCATAATCTTTTCACCTGGAAAAAATGTATTTATGGACCACAGTTGGACCTTAAATCCACCTTTGTACCGTTGAAGGTACATTTACATTTTTTGTTTTCATTGTACTCCATGTAGTTACCAAATAATATCCCTTAGGATGTTACAAGCCATAGATTATAATAGATAGTAATAGACCTGGTTACAGTTTACAGGCCACTTACTTAGGATTTGTTGTAAGCTTAAAATTTAGAACTGTCATCCGGCGGTCTCCACCTAATGTTTGCTGAAGCTACAGAGCAAGAGAAAGAATTACAGTGAGAAGAGGCGTCCATCTATAACGAGTTTCAGTGTATTATTCTAACATGTGTGTGTGAGTGCACCCATTCACCCAGTGTTGAAGAGTCTGTGCTGCATTCTCCACAGAGCCATTCATTGTGAGGTTCATATTAACTCTGTAAAAAGTGTCTGAAAAATCTGAGTGGGGAAAAATTATTATTATGAGTTAAGCAACCATCTTTTAATCCTTTTCCAAAGAATGACACTTTTACATCTATAAATGCAGTAATGAGAAAAGTAGTTAAAGGTTGCACTAACCTATATAGTTTGAGTCATTTTCAGGAATGATTGCTGCAACAGAAAGAAAGAAATTGCGCATCTTGTGAAATTGCATGCATAGGAGATCACATGTGTCAAGTCCACATGTGTCAGGCTCCAGTCCCCACGGGCCAGAACACTTCAGACTTCAGCATACTGCCTCATTAAACACGTGATTCATCTCATCAGCTGATTAGCATATGCTTCACAAACTGAATTCAGAGTGTTAGATGAAAAATGCTAACCACCACAGCACTTTGACCCAGAATATCACCAGATTTACATGGCTGATTGAGACTTCATACAGTACTGTGCAGAAGTCAGAGACTACCTGTCATTTATTTAATTCTCAGTCAAAATGCCAATTAAGTACAAGGTTTTTTTTTCCATTTTTCAGTGTCAGGAAAAAAGCAGGAAACATATATTTAACAGAAAACTACACTGAAACCTCAACAACTACATATACAAATGTCTTTATTACAGCTTCCATTATTTTCAGAAGATTTGCTTTCAGGTTTTCAAAGAAATCTGCAGGAATTTTTCCACACCTCCAAAGTCCAAGTAATCTCAAACATATTAAATGATTTTGAGATCTGGGCTCTGGGGTGGTCAGGCTGTTGTTCTGAGGACAACAGCAACTTTGTTGTTTGATTTGCTTGTTTGAAGTTTCTTCTTTTTTGTCTATTTTCTTTTCTCAGAAGTGGCTTTTTGACATCATTTCAGATCCATAGTGTTGAGTTGTCTTCTCACAGTGGAAAGATGGACAGAAACACCTGTGGATTTTTTCAGATCTGAAGCAAGAGTGGTGCTTGATTTTCTTCAGTCTCTCAAAGAACTTGTTTAAACCTTGCCTTAACATGTGTTTCGGCCTGGATCGTATCTGTATATACTTTGACCAGATTAGATCTGATTGTACTTTCCCTGCGTAAAAAGGACATCAACCTGGACGTTGTTTCCATGTTACTAGTTTGGCTTGAACACTTTCTTTCTTTCTTTCTTTCTTTTTTTCTTTCTTTCTTTCTTTCTTTCTTTCTTTCTTTTTGTTTGCACTTGTATTAAGTGTGGTCAAGATCCATCTCTGACCAACTCCAAATGTGGTTTGAGTGATCCGATTGTAATCCAAACACTGACTGTGTTCTGACTGTGTTTATACCTGGCTTTTCATATGGTCAAGTAAAATCCAAACGGAATCTGATCACCAAAAAACGTATGTTGATTCAAAGTGTAAACAGGCCTAAAAATGAAAGCTTTAAGCACTGTTTATCTGATGGCAAGTTTTAGTGGTCTACCAGGTCTTAAATGGTTATTAGTCCCATTTTCTCTATAAGTTTTAATATTTTTTTATTTTTGAAGTCCACTTTTGGAAACTCCTGTTTTGCAAGTGGATTATCTTCTGTCAATCTCCTCAGAAATATATCCTGAAAAAGGAATAACTTTTGCTTCATTGCTGTTTTGACTACAGATGAAATAAATGAAGGGTGCTCTTTGGCTTTTACACAATACTGTATATAATAAGACATCAGTTTCATCAGATCGTCCCATGACTGCTAAATTTGAGGTGCTGTGAGCACATTGATCTTTTTCACGCATTCTTTCTGTTCACACATACCAACTGGAAGGATGTTGAGAGAAGCTGGATCTGTCTGAAGGATGGTGTGGTCACTGTGGTTGTAGGTGTGTATTAACAGTGTCCACAGTTCAGCCTGAGTCTCATCTATACTGGCATGAGGGCTCACTGTCACATACACCAGGCAGCTGAACCTTTTAACACATCAGTAACACAGGCCATTCATGTAAGAAATGAGTATCAATTCAATTCCATTTCCATATTATGGATATGTATCAACTGAGACATTTACCATTCTTCTTTAGAAGACATATTTCTGGCCTCCTACAAAAAAGCATAACATCTTGGGTTGGTTGTGGCCACAACTGTACACACATAATATCTTAGTCACTATCTGATTACATATCTATTTAATAATGTGTGCATACCTTCAATTCAGCATTTTCATGTTCACACAGAGCACAGTCTGTTTGGTACATCTGGCTGATTTGAAACATACACAAACAGAAAGCATGTCAGAGTTTGTTAAGTCATGTGTGGTTGTTAAACAACTAAATCACGCAGGTATGTATGAAGAGTCTTTGCACCAAACAGTGTGCATCAATAAGACAAATCAAACTACTCAGTTTCCTTCAAATATTAGAAATTCAACATGCATAACTGAAATGATGCATAAAACATTTAATACATAGAACTGTAACTACCTTAGACTTGACAGGAACAGAGAATTCACAAGCGTGTTCTGAGGCAAAATGCTCTCCAGCTAAAACATGAGGAAAGGAAAAGGCAATGTTCACAATGCCCATAATATTAGATATGCTGTTATGAGAAAGTAAATATTGATCTGATATCTCTTACCCATTTCAGCACAATCGCCTTGGACTCATTCCCATTTAGGTCACCACTGGCCTTTTGAGTGATCAATAACTTCATGTTTATTTGATACTTTGACCATTCTGAAATAAGATGGAGATCATTTACTGAGAGGTGTCAACCAATTACAAATGTTTTAGCATAAAGCAATAGTGGACAACAAAAGTATTAAAAGTATGTTGAATAGCTAAGAACTTTAGCAGCCCATTTGAAGTCTCAGTTTTGTCTGTACTTTTGTCTATTTTTATAAATAATAATATAGCATACAGTCTCAGAAATCACATAAACAGGTCTATATGAGATTACATAACAAATTGACTCCAGTTTCAGGAATGCAGTTTGCATGATGCATAATTGGTTATCATAAGCTTTCATTATTTGCTAGTTATATAGTTACCAGCATAGCTCCAGTGTAAAACGAAAGAAGCGAACTTTACACAGCAAACATGTCCTGCCTGATTGAATATATTTGGTAATTGTGTAAATTAGGTATTTACCAAAATACAGCCTAAAAACAGCACCACACCGTATCTTCAGTACAAAGTTTGGTTAACTGTACTATTGGCTAGATAGCATAGATCAAATAGTTATTGTTATGTTTTATGGATTATTAATTATGAACTTTTACATTGTTTTAAAACTCTGTTCCTGAGCTAACTGTACAGTCACTTGAAACTCATTCACAACAGTTGCACGAGTTAAAAACAGCCAGTCAAAATACAGTTAATGCATCACTTGACAACATCGAACAAGTTTCAAATAATTGATTTTACCAGATTAATGGACAAGAAAATAAAACAGAGGATGACTCTAGGTTGGTAGTTTTTTTTTTCAATTTCCTGAGTCATGAGAACCAATGTGAGTCTTGGAAAGCTAGCATTTTTGTAACCAACTGTGTTAACTAGCCAGCTAATGGCAACAGATGTTTAAACAGTTGCTTGTGAAAACATTTGTTCTTCTTTACCATGTTGTTTTTGTAATTTACGAAGCTTAACTTATTTTCTCCTCTCTTGATGCCACCTAATTTTACACAGATCTCAGATTAATTTGGGATACACTCCTCAAGGAACTTGTGCATCTAGGACAGGATGAGTGAATCGCTACTTAAATTTTAATTTTCAAATGTTTAACATCCAAACAGAAAAAAATCTAAAAATATATAGTAAAAAAACACAGATAGATAGATAAAAGACAAGCATAGAAAAAGGAACAGTGACAGCTACAACACAAGCAGCTAATTTATCTAGTTAGTCGATCAGTGGAATGTGTTGCAACTTTGTTTTGAATTGCTACATGTCACTGTCAAGTTGCACATAAGTTATGTACTGACACCTCACAAAATGCAACTAATTGCATGAATGTTTCACCATGTAAAGCCAGCCCAACATGCCTGGAGCATCAAGCGCTTCATAAGTTGCTTCAAGCCAATGCCAGTGTATAAAAATCACAAAACTGTGCAATAATATCACTCAGCAGGTTAGAAACTCTAGTGTCTTCACTCTTAAAAATAAAGGTACCAGAAAGGGTTCTTTGAATCGATAGAATAGGGGTCGTCAATCTTATCTGTGACAGGCTGGTGTGGCTACAGGTTTTCATTCCAGCCAAGTGTTTTTGGTACATAAAACCACTCAAATCACAGAGGAACAGAGGGGGAAACAATAAAAGCACAAAACAGATGGAGGAACCTCCATATAATTTAAAGTTTCTATCAATTAAAGGGCCTTTCTTAGAACTGTATGTTTAAGCCAAAAACACTTTAGGAACCTTATTTATTAACAGTGTACAGTAAATACATACTTAAAAAGGTGGTTCTTCACGGGTTCTATTTGAATGCATATATGGTTCTTTGCATGGTTAAATAGTTCTCTTTGATGGAAAACCTGTTTGCTGTGTGTGGTTCTTTAAAGAACAGTTAAAAATAGTTCTAGATAATATCTAAAAGGGTTCCACTACTGTTACAAGTCATAGAACTTTTTTTGGTACTAGAACCCTTTTTGTTAAGAATGTAGAGGTTTGTCTCACCACACTTTAACCTATTGTCTGTTATGGGTGCGCAGCCATGGTACTCCCAGTCATTCTTGCTCCAGGTCACAACATTTCCACTCACGCACTTCCATTCTGTGAGCTGCTGGGGGTTTAGCTCTTGTCGCCACATACGGAACATTGTTATTTCCCCCATGAAGTTGGTCCCTGTTTCAAAGTCCATAACGCCACCAACAAAGCTGTGGGTCACCCCCAGAGTGAGTGTGCCATTTGGAGCCAGACTACTGGGTGCTAAGGCGTTAAGCTTAGAACTTAGGGCAACTGAGCCATTGACAATCAACTGGAAGTGTCTGGTGCGGTTCGACCATGTCAAGCAAACAGTATGCCAGTTTTGAAGAGGCAAGTCATACGCAGCAGTCCATTCATTTCCAAAAAGCCACGCCTTCAAATTGCCCCCCCTTCCAGCCAAGCCCAGCTCAATACTGAGCTCTCCGGGCTTCTTGTATACGAAGGCAGTCCAGGCTGAGGTGGTAATCTGTCTCCAGAGGTCAACACACACGCTCAGTTCCTCTAAAGGTGGCACAGTGCAGGTTTTGCTCAGCTGCCAGTAACATGAACGGCCCAGAAAGGCCACCTTCTGTCCCCAGAGGCTAGGATTGGTGGAAGCTGAGGGATATGATATACAAGAATTAGAACATTAGCTCATGAAAACAAGGTTTGATCATTAGGAGTTTGCTTTTGATCTTGCTTTATCATCTTTGAATGACTGTTTGCAGGCTACACAGTATTCAAGCATTTAAGAAGCTAAAAGAACAGTATTTAATACATTAAAATATTACATATAATATGTCGCTGGAACTGTATGTGTACTTCAATGACCTTACTTACCTGAACACAAGAGACAGCTCCCAAATATCCATATGTACACAATGACTGATAGACATGCACTAATTTTGCCCATAACTGTAGTCTTTAAAGAGAACATAACTGGCTGGATATTACTTACACTGTAAAAAGAACAGATATGTATTTACATGCAGTGTACCATAAACACATCATTTATTATCTTTTACTATTCATATCACATTTCACATTTTATTCCGATTTTAAATGTATAGCTCCTTAAATAACAGCAAAGAAGTTTTTTAAGAAGATAATTAACAAAAAATACTTATGCATATTTGTAAACATTACAGCTGAATTACTCTTAATTTAGGGTTAATGACAATTATTAGTTTTGTCCATCATTTTCTATTTAAATCAAAAAGGTACACAATTTTTAATTGCTTTTCTGATGTCAGTACGTCTGATATCACTGTTGTAAGAACAAAACCTTGTATCTCCAAATTGGTAACTTTACAGGAGAAGGAAAAAACATACTTTACTTTTATTGTAAGTCAATGGAACCAGACCTTTTTCCAGGTCATTTTGGGCCATTTCTTTTGATCCATTCTTCATGAAATTTACATACAATGTAAAGGGCAACAGGTATTTTCAAATTATGTCAAAGATTGAAAAATACAAAAATTGAGATACAAGGTTTTGTTTGGACAGCAATGATATTCTTTTCAACAGGAGATAATGCACAACGATATGACATTAAGAACACAAAGAAAACATTATTACTCCACAAGCTGTTATCAGTTAGTGATATCGTTGCTGTCCAAAGAAAAACATTTATCTCCATTTTTGTCTATTTTGATTTTTCTCCATCATTTGAACACATCAGTTGCCCTGTACATTGTGTGAAAATTTCATTATGATGGACCAATTTAAATGCTCCAAAATGACTTGGAATAAAACATCTTTAAATTAACTTACTTTAAAAGTAAAGAATGTTTTGCCCTCTCCTGTAAAGTTACCATTTTGGAGATACAAGGTTTTTGTCAGACAGCGACGATATAGTGATAGAATTATTGCAATTACAAATACACAGTAATGTTACTTACTGAGTTACAACATCTGTGTGTATTACACATCGACTGATGGAAGCAATATCAACAGAAGAAATCACATCACATCCTTTCAGCACAATCTAGAAATCCGTGTTGGCTGAATCCATAAGTCCAGGCCCGTGCTGTGATCTCTGGCATGAGGGCAGTGCGTAGGACAGTGTAAGTGCTGGACCTTTACTCACTGCAGCAAAAAGCCACTCCCACTCTCTCCTACACAGTTACTCATTAAACATAGAGAAAACAATAAACTTAATAGCCAGTATCAATGAAGTGATTTAACCTACCTTAAAAGAAAACTGCATAGCCTGTAGATACAATGAATGTGTTTGTTGAAGATGGTTCATGTTCTGTAGTTGAGTCATTATGATTGTAGTGCAAAATGAAGATGTTTACAGTGTGAACTCGAAATCAGCCACAGCTTGTTATGTATACTGTGGGATGTCATTTGCATAACTCATACATGTAAGACAAGACGCACCTTGTCTGAACAAAGGTTATGATAAGCAACAAAAAACCTGTGGTTGTAAAACATTCTACCACACATACAGCACTGTGCAAAAGTCTTAGACAGCCACCGAAATGATTTAAAACTATTTATGTAAATGTGTTGCAGTCTGTAAAAAACGCTAAGTAACAATATATTTATTTAATATAAACATATAAAGTAAACGTAGAGACAATAAAGCATAATAATTTCTTGTTTTCTAAAAGGTTAATGATATCTTGATTAGAAAACACATGATTGGTTCCTGACTCCTCGCTGCACTTCAGCCATTGCCTGGATTAGCTGAATTTCATAAACAGCACACCTGATTTATTTGAATGAAGTATTGATGAAGAAGACCAGGTACTGGATGATAACTATAAATACTTAGTTTCGTCAAGGAGAGAGTGGTTAAGCTAACACACTGTCACACATCAAATCATAATGTATTGTTTATTTGTTTATTTGTATTGTAGCATGTTCTAGAAATGTTTGGGCCTCTTAGTTTAAGTTGTGTGTTCTCCAGCATTAACTGCACTTGGTTTATTTTGCTATGTACTCTGATTGGAGAGGGAGGGGCTAGGAACCACCCCGGCTGTGTGTGTAGGTGTGGTGGAAAGAGAGACGGAGATGTGAGCTGGGGGAAAGATTGAGTTGGACAGCTAGAAAATAAAGCACCGCAACTTGTGCGAAAGCAGTGCCTTTTTAATAGAGCTGAGCACTACAATATTGTAATATTAGTTTGTTTCGTTTTTTCAAACAAATGCATGCTTACTGCCCAGCAAAAAAGCTTTACATACATTTTTGCACAGTGTTGTATATGTTCTGTAGTATGGTGGTCCAGGTTAGAGACTGTATGCATTATAAACTAGAAAGATAACTTACAAAAAAGCAACTTTGCTTCAAGTTTTACAGATTTTTCTAAGTTCCTGCATACTTTAATTTTTAGTAAAAAAGAAAAGAGAAACTTACAGAGACAGAATTCTTCACAGTGGTGGTGATAGTAACCAAACATCTGAAGAGTTTAATGCATATAAAGCTCCCTAACAGAAAATGGTCACATGAAACGGTTATGTATACATTGCCTGATGCATTAGATGTTGTTTTGTGATAGTTTTCAGAAAATGTTTTGGCCTTCCATTCATGGAGGAGAGCTACATGCACAGTGTTGTAAGGCAAATTAGTCGCAAATAAAACTTTTTTAAGACTAACCAAAAGTTTAATTAACACTTTAGTTTACAAAGTTTAGGGTCCTTTGTAGATGATTAATAAACTCTTTGTAGATGATTAATAAACTATTAATAAACAGATTATCAGTAACACATCAACACCATATCAGTGAAGTAGCAGTAATGAAACATCTCAATACACTGAAGTAAATATCATGTAGATGTACTGTTGATATATCACGACATTAAGTAGATGTATTGTTAATTTGTTACTTCCATTATGCAAAACCTAACCTTACCTGACCTTACCCAAAACCTAACCCTAACCCTGGCCCTAATCCTAACCCTAGCCTTAACCTCAACCCAGAACCTAATCCTAACCTTCGTATGCTTTTGACATGTTACTGAGAGTCTGTTCAGTGTTTGTTTCATCCAAAAGGACCACTCAAATAAAGTCTCACCCTATTTTACCTTATCAACATCACATATTAACTCACATATACTTACCATTATATACTTAACTATTAACATTATATATACTCACTGGTCATTTTGGATAGTAAATATAATGCCTATGCTTGTGCTGCATGACTCCTGGTTCTTATCACCACCACTGTAAAGAAATCCGAGTTGGTAATTTTATCTAGAACGCACCATTTCACATCAAACCACTCTGAAAAACTTTTTGAAATAATTTTGAAAGATTTGTGGCATTCCCCTTTAAAAACATAACACATTTAGACAAATTAAGAGTCTAATGTCAGCAAGAGAGTAATGAACTAAGAACCATAAAACTATTCACTGCTTTATCTGAGCTTTGCAGTATACTTAATATAATAATTGGATAGCTTATCGCACGCTAATAAAAGCCTATTAGAAAAGCAACTACTGAAAAAGTGTGAGATCCAGCTGCCAGTTCTGAAGAGGGTAGGGGTTGTTATCAGTTAGATAGCAGTTTATAGCCTCCATAGAATAAGCATTGCAGAATTTATGTGCATGGCTGTACAGCAGGATGTTTTCTTAGATGTTCCGCAAACAGTACGGGGACCGTTCCTGCTGAAGTGTTTAGATCAGAGCGAGTGAGCTGGGGCTTTTCTCAAACAAATCTAATTAGATTTTCCTGTAGCATTGACCCTAGCCCGGCCTGTGTGTTTGTGCATGGTAGTGCAGGAATAATAGGCCTCAGCCTGAGAAAACTCTCAGATTGCCACAGCATGGGTTCACAGAGGAATTGGGCTGTAAAATGTCTTGTAAGCAGCAGTTTATAGAACGTAAAAAGTGTAAAAAGTTGCCTACATTGAAAGGTTTAATTAATTTTCACACATGGAAATGACTGAGCTGACTTTTTCTTTCAGCCAGACCCATTTAACTTTCCACATGATGTGCATATACTATGATTATTGATTGAGGCTGCCTCTTTAAAGCTCTGTATCAAGTATCTATCATATGTAAAGTGATGAAAAGAATAATTAAAGTCTTCAAATTACAGAGACAAGGTGAGCTTCCTACATATCTACCACTAGAGAGCAGCATGCAGTTTCAGCAGAAGGAGTGTGCCAAATGGGCCTATAACAGGTAAGCACAGTTGTACATCACTGGCTACTTTATTAGAAATTTCTACCTTGAAGGTCCACTTTGTACGAGACTGCAAACCATCTGTTGTGGGAAAAATTGTGGTAGTTATTCTCTAGCACTTGAACAGCAGTCTGTTTCTGACCACAGAACCAGAAGAGGCTGCATCTGCTTGGATGGCGGACCATGCCCATTACTATATCACTGCTGTGCTGACAATGGTCCACCATCCAAATAATATCTCGTCAACAGCAGTCCTGTGTTCAGAAATGACATGTTTTGTTGATTTTTTAATTGAAAAGAATAAATAAGTACACATTCTCTGTATTAAACACTTTTGCACATTTTAATGCAAAATTACTGTTTGCTGAATTAAATATATTGGGAAAAAATAAACAAAATGTGTCCTGTGCAAAAGTTGTGGGACATTTTATATGTTAATCATTTTCCTTAATACATTAAACTCAGAAAATAAATAGAAATTTGTACCATGTGACCAGGCACCCCTTCAAGCATTTGTATATGACTGTAGAGGATGGCTGACAAATTCGGCAGCTACAGCCTGTGTTGTAAATCTATATAGTGGGCCTATTAGGTAATATGACCTCATAAAGTGGCCAGTGGGTGGAAGATGATGAGTATATTGTATTAATTTGAGCTCTGGTTTATGGATCAACCCCCAACCCACAACATATATTCAGCATTGTTAGAAGAGTTGCAGTATGTCTTATGTACTGTGTATGTACCAATGAAACACACAGTGACCTTTATTCACTCCCATAATATAAACCTATTGTGGAGTGGCAACAGGCACAGCCTCTTCTTTTCTGGTGATTCTAATCAGAGGCATGGCACTGATTAATCGGGCTCATCAGCTCAGCGTTAGCTCTACCCCGTCTGAAGAGGACGCCGACAGAGTGGCTCTTCAGGTCAGAAAGCCACATGAGGCCTGCCTGTGCAAATCTGAACTACATAAGAAGACACTTCAGATACAGAAAACAAGCATGAGGCTTTGGATATTTTGTGTTTCTGACTGTGTGATCATTTCAGTTATGTTTAATACATTGTTTAATTCGTTCCAAGACCATTTCTTTTTCCTTTTTTCCAGGAAAAGTGTCTGGCTTCTTTTTTGCTACCCCAAAAACCCCAAACAACATGTGTTTCAACAGTTCATTAGACATTCCATTCAATGGCAGATAATTTGAGCGGATACCCCACTCTACATTGTTCTGCTGTGGAAGGTGTGTTACTTTGATGTATTCCTCTGTGGTATCCACTACTTTACTCTCTGACTATGAGAAGAATTTTGACAATAACGGCAGTAATGATCAGTGAGATCTTTGACAGTCCTACTACAGTAACATTCCTTTTCCTTAGTCACAAACGTTTAACTGTATGAATAAAACTATTCCTTCAGTACAGTATTGTCTGATTTTACTTGACTTTTCTTACAATAGCTGTGTTGATGTAAAGAGAATGCTGCCCTATTTGCCAGGTGTCCAGTTGTAATTACAGGTGAAGTTACTCTGCTGCAAGGTGTGCAGAGAGCCAGGTTAGAGGAAGAGGACCTCTGGTATCTGATACTTCAGACTTTGTGTTGTGATCTCATTCATTGGATCGTTTAGCTCTGTGACAGACAGTCCTATTCTATTCCCATTGATATCACTAAAAATGCACTCATCTACAAAAGGTAGAGGAAGCAGAAGTGACTGGGATGCTAGATGCCCACAGACCTCAGATATCTGACAAGGACAGCCTTTATTTTGTAACACTCTGTTGTTCCTTTAGCACACAGGTCAGAGGCTGAATGGAATCTGCACTTCGGCCAGAGGCAGGCTTACTGTATACATACCAGAGAAAGGCTGGAGCAGAGTTTCACACTGAGTAGGTGAAATAGATAATGCCCTTGTTTACCTTGCAGAGGAATTGTATTACAGTGCATTGGATTATGTGTCATTCACAGACTAAAATGGACTCTATATTTCTAAGAAGCCAACGGTGTTTCTTCCTGTCTTATTTATATTGTGACTAGCAGAAAATGCAACCAACTTTTGAGACTGAACTTTGGAGGCATGGAAAAATATCTCTTTAAGTTTCTTTGAAAAACTGAAAGTGATTCTGAATACAGTGGAAGCTGTAAAAATCCCAGTCTTATTGCATACTAAGGCTTATTATTCAGTAACTACAGGGACTTCAATGCAACTTGTTAAGCTTTTCTAAGGTAATAGAAGTGTCTAATAAAACTTTGGTCCTGCTGGCAGGCCCTGGCCATGTAAGGGGTCAATGTAGTTGTTGAGGCTTCGTCTGTGTAACTGTTATGATATTCTGTCATATATGTTTTCTGCTTTTTTTCCTGACACAGAAAAATGTACTGGGTGTATCTATCTATATATCAGTCAATCAAAATAGCATTCTTAAAGGGTTTTATGAAGGGACTGGGAATTTACCCTGCAGATTTCAATACTAAACCCAGAAAGAGTCTGTTATAGTCTGTTATTATCACTGAGTGTAATGCATCTGCTTCCACTTGCTTGCTTTACCCATCTTGTGTCTTAACCTATGACATTCCATCACTTCCATTATCACCCACTTTAGTGTTAAGCAACACAGATGCCCCTACATTATTCAGAGTCTGTAACTGAGACCAAGCACAGTTTCCACTAAAAAATGAATGAAGGGCCCTGCAGGCTTAAGATTTAGGAGATGGTGGGACAGAGGAAGTGGTGTTGAATGACTGTAAAGAAGTACTTAGTTTGCCAAGGGGATAGGCTGTTTTCTTTAAAGGAGTGGTTGACCACTGAGGCACTACAGTTCCCTCAAATTCTGAGCCCCCTTCAGCAGGCTCTTCAGGGTAAGTTTTTAGGGGAATGTTGTCTCGCTTTTTAGTTTTTTTCTGATCTAATCAAATTCATAAACATTTAAAGCTCGCTTTTTCTCCAGTAACGCTGGAGTATGGAAAATATTTTACGAATGTATTTTTTGGGGTTTAATCCAGAGGAGACTATTAAGTGTGCAAATTTTCAGTCAGACGCTAGATGGCGCTCCGGTGCTCTGTGCTGCTCTGTGCGCGTGGCCGCGTCCCCGGCTTGTGCGCGCCGCCGCTTTAATGAACGTGTCCGAGAAAAAGAGAAGGAAAAAACTTCGGTTAAAAAATGGCGGAGGGGGCAACGACTCTGAAAGGCTTGCGCGCACAAATGGGTAGGAATTCATCTCTTTATACCAGTTTTTGCGGATTTCATCGCGTCCACTTGTAAAGCCAGACTTTCCGCGACGAGCTCAGGTTGTTTTGAAGCAGTTTGTGTGACAGAGACTAAAATCAGGCACTTTCATTCAGACTAACCCGGTTAGCTGCTGCTGTTTAGCGGGCTTTGCTGTTGCTGATAAATATCGAGCTGCTGGCTGCTAAGAGTTAAGCAAATGAGTTGAACCACAGCGGCAACAAGTTTAAATCTGTTTTTCGTAGCCGGTTAACTAAGTTAACGACTAAATTTATTGATTTGAAGTGAATTAGTGCCTGGTTCCGTCTTTTTATGGTTGCGAGTTGTGTTTTGCCGTGACCGTTAAAAATGATCGGTAAGCGAGCTAAGATGACTCAGACTGATTAGACCGAGTGACAGATCTAGCTAGCTTTAGCTTGGCGCCTCTCAGGGAAGAGGATGCTCCTCTCTTTGGTCAACTAGTGAATAGCTGTTAAGCTAGCCAAATAAACTATTTCACCTGCATATTTTATTGCAGTAAGTGCAGACGTGTGTAAGTCTTCTGTGTTGAGCGACACTACTTATACACAAATATATACTTTAACAGTATTTTAACCCATCAGCTTATGATGACCAGTGTGAATAAGTTAGTTAACGCTAGCTAGCTTAGCTTAGCTAGCAGCTCATCACATATCGGAGAGCTTGATGTTGAGCAAGGAGGCTAAATGAACGTTACCAAAGTTATCTGAGATAAGCGATCCTGACCTTAATCTCGATCGTGCGATTCAGTCTTGCATTCACGTGCAAAATATTCACTTCATCTGGTTAATTTGAGGTCGCTGACCGTTATTTAATTGATTGACTCAGCTGTCAGTGTCTTCTCACTGGTCTGGTCGTTTCTAGAGGCAAAATTAAGTTGATTTGTGTTTCATTCTAAAAGCCAATGAGGCTCTTATTAGGCGAATACTCATGCACAGGGTGTCAGCACAGCTTTGGACTGTCTGAAAACAACAGGACTCCTGCATTTCTGCTTTAAAACCAACCATTATTTCAGCTGATAGGGTAGTAATTGTAGGTAGTGTTTGACGTCTGTCTAAAGATTGCGACCTGTGGTGACTTGCAATAGCTGATTTCTTAATGTTGTTCCTGAGGTAGGCCTAGTTCTCTTTTTTTTTCTTTAATTCTGCAGTGTATCCTCTTCTCATCTACACTATACTATCAGTGAAGACTGTTTTTTATTATGCAGTGTTTCCACTGACATAGCTAGCACATTCATATCTGCTCACAGCGTGTGCAATTTTTGTCTTTTATGATTCCTCTGGTAAATACCAGCCTTGCTTATTATATGAATTGCCATTCAGTAAATCGTTAAAGCCGTGATGGTTAGGAAGCTTACCTAGCTTTACACTGTACACTGCACAAAGGTTAATGTTGAGCTGCTTCGCCCACAGTATGTATAATAATGGGTGGCGCAGTTTGGGCTGAAAACTGTAGATTATATAATGGACGTCCACAAGAATGTGTGAGAAGGCTATTCTGTAATTACTGGGTGGAATCGGACTCAGTATGGTACTGTTTTAGAGGTTTAGTTCTTGCCATGCTCATTTTAAAGTATGTTTGTTTTGGTTTTGTTTTTTAGGTCAAAGTTGGTAAAATACTTTGCATGGTGCAGTAGCCAGTTCTGTCTGTTAGTTTATGACCTTGTCTGACTGATTTAGTCGGCCCTGTTTTGAAATTGATCACAGCCCCTCCGCTGTTTGAGGTGTTGGAAGGAAGTGAACTAGATAGGCTGGACTGATTGTCAAGTGTGTTTCCCACTCACAGAGACAGTATCACATTCAGAAAGATTTGAGAAGCAAATGAACTTGGATTTAAATTAGTCAGCACCTCTCCTCCCACATCTCAAATCCAGGATGTAGCTCTACGATACAAACTATAATACAGTCGTTGTGCACAGTAGCTATTTTGTATGTCCAGAAGTTTGTAGACACATTTGCATCCAATACTTCTTCCAAAGTCAAGAGTTTTAACAGCCTCTACTGCAGTAACAACCTCTTCTCTTCTGGGAAAGCTTTATACTATGCTGGAACATTGCTTTAGGGATTGGACTGTGTTCAGCCATGAGAGCATTAGTGAGGTCAGGTACTGATGCTGTATGATTAGTTCTGGATCAGTCCAAGTTATCCGAGAGAATACAGCTCCGCTGCTGCACAGCTTAGTACTGAGGAGCTTCATACCACTCTAGCTGATGCTTGGTATTGGAAATGATGACCTTAGGCTGATGTCCAGCTGCTCCAGGGTGTCTCATTCTATTGGGAATACTCTTCTATAGAGATTATGCAAGCTGTTTGCTTGCAATCGAATGCCTGCGCCAGCAATGAGTGCACCTTACAGTAGCTGTTTTCATTAAATGAGGAGTGTCTGGATGTGCATTATAGAGATCCAGCAGCAAGTGCTAGAAAACTATGTTAGGTTTTGACGTATTTAGAAGTCCAGCATGTTAAGAGTAGCAAGTTTGGCCTGCTGTCCACTATGCATTGCTCTGATTTTAGAAATAATTCATTCTTACACAGCCCAGATGTTCCCAGAAACACCAGGCAGGATCATCTGTATGTATGTGTGTGTGTGAGACAGAGAGAGAGAGAGAGAGAGAAAGGGAAATCACAGCTGTGCCCTGTGTGAAGGCCTGCATTATTGGCATCTGCAAAAGAGTACTTCCTGTTGTCCCAGCAACAGTCTGCTACTGCAACAGAGAGAGAGAAGGAGAGACTGACTGACTAGAGTAATAGGAGCCCACTGACCCACTAATAGTGACTCCCCCTGGCTGCTGTTGCTCCCAGTGCATGCAGGGATACAAAGAGTTGTAGTGTTGTCTTTGTATGACTGTTCCTTGTTTTTTTTATTTGTTTTTTTCCTCAGTTGGAGTGAATTTGGTTTTGTTTAGCGCTCCATCTCATCATCTGACAGGTTGAACGGTGTCACTGTTTTTAAAATGGAGTAAATGATGCAACACTGAACTGTGATATTTTTTCCCCAGTTTTTCAGTTTTGAAGTTATGGCCTTTTAAACACAATCCAGAGCCCATATGGTGATGATTAGTAAGTGTAGAAAGAGTTTAATACAGTATCAAAAACATAAAAAATCAGTACCCAGTATATTAAAATATAGGGGAAGCGATATGGCAAAAAATATCATGGCACAATATTTACATTTGCATGGTGCACAACATCACCGTATCACATTATTTTGACATTATGGTGTCACATTTAAACACAGCCATAAAAAATATGTGTACAGTGATTTCACACACTGCACTGCACTAAATACTGTTAAACTGGAGTAATTATGCTCTCCTTGTAATGAAACATGCAGTTGGTCAGTTTTCATGATCAAAGCTAGGCATCCACTTGCATCCTGTTGGAGCAAAATGGGCACAAAGGAGGGAGGGGCTTATGCTGTACATGCACACACACTCAAATAATTGAGCCTTTTTTTAAGTCACTTAGAAATTTTAAGGTTTACAATTTTTTTCTTTCAAAAATCATATTAAAATCATAATGAAAATCTGTGTATTTTTATAGCCCTTACTTGTTAGATATGAGTGTTACATGGTTTGCCATTTCTCAAAAGAGGAAACGTCTGATGTTTCAGTTTAATTAAATTTGTCATGCCTCCTTCAGATAATGACTAGAAATCAAATTTAAAATCATTGATTTAAATTCTAGTATGGGCTATTCTGAAAGGTCTCTTATATTGCTTCAGTTTAATGATCACTTATGATGAGCATTGTGATCAATTTAATCACAAAAGTAGATCTAGCTTAGACTTATTTTGGTATTTGAGTATTCATAAGGGTTAATTAATGAATGTTTGGTGAACAGCATGGAGGGGAAAAGCATAAAAAAAGACTAAGATTAACAGATAACTATCATTAGCTTATAAAAATCAGTAGCGCAAACATTTAGCAGAGATTTAGAGAGTCAGCAAAAGGATACATTTGAACACTTGTTTTATTATTCAGAATGGCCAAGGGCATTCAGTAGGTTTTTCTTGGTAGAGTAATGGAGACTGCCTCTTCAGATGAGCTAATAAGCTAACATTAGAGCTACCTGGTATAACACTGGATGGTGAAGAGGACTCCTCATCTTCTACATAAGGTCCTTTCACTTCAGTGTGCGAACTAAGGATGTGCATTCTGACTAATTTTGATATTCGAATATCCATAAGAGAATTAATGGATATCCTGTTAATCCCAAGGAAGAAAAAAGAGGGGAAAAAGGCTGGGCATGGAGGGTGAGGGGCAGAAAAAAAGCTGTGTAAACAACAGACTTCAGCCTAAATTAGCGTAGGAATATAGGCTTACTTTTTAAATGATAGCACCGGCTGTGAAAATTTGAATTTCAATAATAGTTGAGGGAAATCAATAAATTTTCATCTTGAATGAGTAAAAGAAGCTTCTTCAGAAGGGCTAATAAGCTAAAAAGCTGACTGGTACAACGTTGGATGCTGATGAGGACATGTCATCTTCACCGCAAGGTATTTTTCCCTCAGTGGACCATGTGCCAACATGTTACTCTGACAGAGGAATATCTATTCATTAAATATACTAGAGTGCTTAGCGAAAAGCTGCACCATAGCATCTTTCATGCTGTCTCTACGTTCTCTCGTCCTAACAACAATACGCTCACGTTCAGGCACTCTTGTTTCATAGCATCAAATCATAATATACTTACTTGCGTGACTGTCACATTTTACAGTCCTTTTAACACATAAAATCAGACGTTTGAATTGTTAGCCTGTATATTTTCTCTGTCCTCCTGTGATGAAACATAACGAACACCTGAACAGTGTTTTCAGTATTCGAATACTGGCAACCGAGAACTTAAGTACCCATTCACATCCCTAGTCCTAACGTTGGTTCATCAAAAACATGCTCACGTTCAGGCAGTCCTGTTTCATAGGATCAAAATGTAATACAATGTAATGTTTTACTCACAGATA